AAGCCTCCACCTTTTTGAGAAGGTTTTTTCCCCTAGATTTTGGAAAAATTGCTTTCAGGGACTTGCCCCCAAACATCAAAAGTCCCCCCACCGTATTTTTTCAGTAGGTTTTTGGGTTTTTTTTCTGCTCATCTTCTCATTTAGACTCCTAACCCACCAAATGGTGTGCGTGGCCCAAGATCTCTATTTTCAAAAGGGCCCTCCAACAAAAATAAAAGCCTTGGGGAAATTTTCAAACGGCAATTTTGGATTTTTGTGGAACCGGTTTTGGTTTGGGCAAGACATTAACATAGAGTTTTGTCCCCCCAAGACGGTTTGGGGTTTTGGCTTCGAAATTAGAAAAGCATTTAACATTTTCTAAATTCAAAAAACTTTGTATGTTAAAAAGAATCATGAACTAAACCTTTTTTGGAAAGGCCTTAAAGGGGCCCCAAAACCCCTTTAGAAAAAAAACGTCACATCTAAATTTTTTGGAAACAAACTGTAAGATTGGGTTTCCTTTTTAAAGATAAGACCCCTGGGCCCTTAATGGAGAAACAGGGAAAATAACCCCAAAAGCTTTTCTTTTCCCGGGGGAAAACCCAAAACTTAAAAGCACTTTTTACCCAACATGGGAAAATAAGAATTTTAACACTAATAAATCATTTTGGCCCCCTGGTTTTTTTTTTGTGTCTGTGGTTTTGAAAGTTAGTCTTCAGGGTTGGGGTCCAAATCAAATTTTTTGGGAAATTTACTCCCTTCAAATATGAGTTTAAAATTTGGGAAATTTGGCTCCCATTTTAACTCAGATTTTAAATTGGAATTGAATTGGCCACACCCCACAGGAATTTTAGAAATTTTTAAATTTGGTGACAGAAAGTAGAATTTTTTCAGTGCAATCCAAAAAAATTCCACTCAGTCATATCCCTTTCCCGATACCAAAAAATACCACTTTTTTATGGAAAAAAATGTTCATATACATTTTAACCTTCGTGCTTTGAAAAAGCCCAAAATTTTATTTCCAACCAAAAAATTTCATTTTTTTGGCCCTTTTTTTTGAAGGCCCAGGGTAAAAATGAGGGTTAAAATAATGCATTCGGGGGAAATTTTTGGATTCTCCCCATATTGAACAAAAATGTAAGGGGATTTTGGGGTTTTACCCAGAGCACCTTTGGTTTTCCCGGGGAAGTTTTTTTGGTTTTTTTCCCCCAATTTGGTTATGGGAACCCCAAGGCCATTTTATTTGGCTTGTAAAAATGTATGCACGCATGACTGTAAGTCGCTTTGGATAAAAGCGTCTGCTAAATGGCATATTATTATTATATCTGGAATACCAGGACCTGTGTGTGTAGCAATGGTAGCCCACACACTAATACTCCTATGACAGGGTGTTTTAAGCAGCTCAATCTACGACTAAGTCTAACCACCTGACACAGAGCACGGGGTCACTAAAAAACATATGGTTCTCAGAACGTTATGTGCTAGCTGGGTAATAACTTAGAATATTTGCATGCAGGTTTTGTTTTCCTTGATCATTCGTTTTAAGAGTTGGTCCTGAAAATCAATTGTTTCAGCAATATTTTATATGCATGTATATAACAACATGTTTGATGTTTATGTATATTTGCATAGACTACACCTAATGTAGAATTGAAGAGGCATTTGAATTTCACTGAATTTCACTGAATTCAATTCTGTTTCCTTTAATTCGAATTGCAATACTGTATCCTGTTTGCTACTTAAATTCAAATTACAGTTTTTCTCAATTGCTAAAACACTAAACCCTATTGTCTGAACCAAATGCTCAGTTGCCTGAACCCACTGATTGAATCAATCACTCTTTTGGCAAAACCATAAGCACTTTTCACCTGTTTAGACATAACTTGCCAACACATTTTCATTGTGATGCACCCGTGCTGCATAATGGTGAGCACATGTGACAAAAGTCAAACACAATTAGAGCACAGGTGTCACCACTTGAACACAACAACTCAAAATGGATCACACTTGTGGCTAATGATGTGAGGGAACATATACAGTAAGCCAGTTCAGAGAGCACTGGTTTGTGAGGCCCTACAATGGATAGAAATCTGAGAGGAAGGAGTTCGTGTGAGAGGAGGTCGAGGTGGTCGAGGTGGTCAGCGAAGACAAAGAACAGTAATATCTGATGAAATCAGAGCTACTGTGATTGACCATGTTCTTGTCCATGGTATGAGCATGAGGGAGGCTGGACAAGGGTACAACCAAACATCAGTAGATTCACTGTGTCCACCATAATCCGAAGATTTAGAGAAGAGAACAGGTAATTACCTTTTTTTGACATTATAGTACAGTATGTAAATATTGACAGCAATTACTGTATGACATACTATATACTGTACCACAGTATACTGTAAGTAAATATATGTTTCAGTACATCACTGTACCAATGTACTGTAGTATTGTAATGGAGGGTTGGTCTAACTGTTTGTAGGCCTAGTATTCCATGTATATTTTTTGTAACTCCATGTTCTCTTTTTGTAGAATTGAAAGACTGCCACATGAGGGTGGGAGGACAGGTATGTTCTCCCCACACCAAGAGACCCTAATTGTTGATATGGTCCGTGAGAACAATGCCATTAAACTGAGCGAAATTCAGCAGAAGATCATTGAGGACCATTTACATTTTGAGGGTATCAACAGTGTCAGCCTCTCTACTGTTGATCGTGTCCTCAAGCGCAACAGACTGCGCATGAAACAGCTAAACAGAGTGCCCTTTGATCGCAACTCAGACAGAGTCAAAGAGCAAAGATTCCAGTATGTACAGGTTGGCATATATCCAGACACATTCAATGTTGATTACTCTAAGTAGTGATTTACTGTAGTGGCCTAAATCACTTTTTCCGTATCACTTACAAAACTATATCTATTTCTACAGAGGGTTTTTCAACTGGATGCAATGGAAAGACCCCATCAATACATCTACATGGATGAAGCTGGGTTTAATCTCACCAAAAGGAGAAGGAGAGGCCGTAATGTGATTGGCCATCGGGCCATTGTTGGTGTTCCTGGGCAGCGTGGTGGCAATGTCACATTATGTGCTGCCATCAGCAATCATGGGGTTGTCCACCATCATGCCAACCTGGGGCCCTATAACACTCACCAGCTCCTCATTTTCCTCAATCACATGCGAGATGCTTTGTTAGGGCAGCAGGATGAGCATCCCATCTATGTTGTTGTTTGGGACAATGTGAGTTTTCACAGAGCCCTCCAGGTTAGAGAGTGGTACAATATGAACCAAGGTTTTATCAATCTTTGCCTTCCACCGTACTCCCCTTTCCTAAACCCCATTGAGGAATTCTTCTCCTCATGGCGGTGGAAGGTATATGAACGCCAACCTTACACCAGGGTAAATCTCCTGCAAGCCATGGGACTTGCCTGTGGTGACATAGGTGTGGAGGCATGCCAAGCCTGGATACGGCATGCCAGGGTTTTTTTCCCCCTGTCAGTGTAGCTGTAGGTGGGTGTGGTGGTGGAATCAGGCGCAGGACGCACAAAATAAGTCCAAAAGACTTTAGTTGTTTGCAAACACAACACAGCACGAAAACAAATGCCCAGAGGCGAGAAACTCCGCACGCAGGCGAAATAAAGCGGGCGCACAAAATACGCGCGACAAAATACTCCAATACACAGAAATGGAGAGCAGCTCAACCGAGCAAACTGTATAATAAATAGCTAAACGCACGACAGTGAAAAACAATCACACACAACACTAGACAAACACAACGAGAACTTATAGGACACTAATTACACTAAACGATAACAGGTGTACAACAATCAGACAAAAGCAAACGAACATAGAAACATGCAACGGTGGCAGCTAGTATTCCGGAGACGACGAACGCCGAAGCCTGCCCGAGCAAGGAAGAGAGGCAGCCTCGGCCGAAACCGTGACACCCCCATTGCCTGGCCAGACAAAATGTGGCCTGTGATGTGGATGAAGTCCTGTGGCCTGACCCAGTACGGAGACATGATGCTGTGGCTGAGCAATGCACTTATTAGTATATTTTTGTACTTTATTTTTACATGGGCTTACTGTACACAAGTGGCAAACGCATAAGATTTCTGTTTGTTTTTACAAGTGCTACATGTAAATGCACAAGATTTCTGTTTTGTCTTTTTGTACAAGTGCTAAATGCACAGTTTTTTTTTGTTTTGCAACATGCATTTAGCCTACAGTGAACAATAAACATTTATTTCTCCAGCTTCATGTCCTGAGCATTGTGTTTTCTATTTTTCTACGAAGTGTTTAGTGACTGTTCAGTAGTGTTTTTTTATTTTGGTTGACTTGGGGCACGATTTGACAACATAGTTCAGTTTTGAGCACAGATTGAACTGTTTTGAGGTGAAAGTTTGGTTTTGCAAGAAGAGTCTGAGGTTTTGTGAATGTAGCTTGAAAATTGGGTTTTGTGTTCACAGTTAAGAGAAAAGGAGAGCAGCTTTCAAGAAATGTGTCTTAGCAATCGAGAAAAACTGTAAATTCAAATTCAAGAATTGTCTTGCTGTTGTGGTGAGCTGCCGCTGTGATTGTGGTGTCTCTGACTCATGTAGTACTCTTGTGCTGCTAGACGTTTGAGTGTTATGGTTTTGTGTTCTGGTTATGGCTCAATATAGATCTGTATCTGGTCAAAGTCCACTTGTAGGTGAACGGCTTGACCGGTAGAGCGATGAGAAAGAGAGAGTGAGAGAGAGGAGTGAGGGTGAGAGAGAGAAAGAGGGTGAGAGAGAAAATAGGACATGGTGGTAAAAAGCTGACGTGGAAAGAAATAACTGACACGTCCTCTCTCTCTCTTCTCTCTCTCTCTCTCTTTCTCTCTCTCTCTCTCTGTCTCTCTCTCTCTGTCTCTCTCTCTCTCTCTCTCTCTCTCTCTCTCTCTCTCTGGCACAGTGTCTGGTTTCTTGAGTTTCTGTTTCCACCCTTACCACTGATCGGTTCACTTCCTGTCACACACACACACACATACTCCTACACACACTTACATACACACACACCACTCTCTCTCTCGCTGACACACACACACGCAGCGTCACACACAACACAGACAAACAGAACGTGGAGGTTTAGACCACAAATACAAACGCTCAGAGTTGGCTGGACAGACAAACACACAGACAGGAGGACCGGTTTCCTTTCTCTCTACAAGTTAACCCATCTACAATCCCATCTACAACTCAGGTACCTGTGCTTTTTTTTTTTTTTAAACATAATGTTCTCTAACAAAAACATTTTCTAACATAATGTACTCTAACAAAACAGACAGAGAGAAAGACAAGGTTCTGAATGCTTAGATCAGTATTTTAACACACCAGGCTAGTTACTAATAGATTAACTGTTGAATATAAATAGCCTTTGTTTTTTTGTTTTTACATAATGTTTCACAGTTGAGTAAGTATCTCTCTCCAGGGCCTTTATGAAGTTTTCAGTATTATATTCATTAATCTCTGTTTTAGAGACAGTACAGTGAACTATCACAAACCTTCACAAAATATAGATATATATTTTTAATGTTCTTTATTTTTTTTAAGTTTTGTGAAATTAGATCATCATTATGTCTATAACCACGGTGATAAGTGATGTGAAACTCGTTGACACCAGGAAGTGACAGTGTCACACTTAAAGAGCAACTGCCCCTAAAAAAGCAACTCTCATTTTGAAAACAGCCTATGTGGCATCGATATGAGTCAGAAACATTTAAAAAAAGATTACAAAGTGTAAATAGGATAATTTTGGTCATGAACTCAGTCTCATCCAAAAACAGAGACTTGCCAGATGACAGGAAAAAAATGGTATGACATAGAATGAAGGGTAATAACAGTTTCCCTTGGGTTGGGTTTATTTCAATCCTGCTCACAGCTGGCAGCACCCAAGTAATCGTCAATTTGGAGCGCAGCTGCATGCAACCCGATTGTAATGCCCACAGTAAATTTGGTTTGACATTTGATATCCCTATGGGGCTAGTTAAGGACCATCAGTAAATTACACAATGTACATGGGACAATATTTTAAAAGTTCAATAGCTCCATATTTCAATGATTTAAAAACCTCAAACCAACTACGGTGCATTCGGAAAGTATTCAGATCCCTTCTCTTTTTCAACAGTTTGTTACGTTACAGCCTTATTCTAAAATGGATTACATTGTCTACACACAATACCCCATAATGACAAAGCAAAAACAGGTTTTTAGAAATGTTAGCTATTTTTAAATTTTTTTTAAATTAAATATTATATTTACATAAGTATTCAGACCCTTTAGTCAGTACTTTGTTGAAGCACTTTTGGCAGCGTTTACAACCTTGAGTCTTCTTGGGTATGACGCTACAAGCTTGGCACACCTGTATTTGGGGAGTTTCTCCCATTCTTCTCTGCAGATCCTCTCAAGCTCTGTCAGGTTGGATGGGGAGCGTCGCTGCACAGCTATTGTCAGGTCTCTCCAGAGATCAATCAATCAATCAATCAATTTTATTTTATATAGCCCTTCGTACATCAGCTAATATCTCGAAGTGCTGTACAGAAACCCAGCCTAAAACCCCAAACAGCTAGTAATGCAGGTGTAGAAGCACGGTGGCTAGGAAAAACTCCCTAGAAAGGCCAAAACCTAGGAAGAAACCTAGAGAGGAACCAGGCTATGAGGGGTGGCCAGTCCTCTTCTGGCTGTGCCGGGTGGAGATTATAACAGAACCATGCCAAGATGTTCAAAAATGTTCATAAGTGACAAGCATGGTCAAATAATAATCAGGAATAAATCTCAGTTGGCTTTTCATAGCCGATCATTAAGAGTTGAAAACAGCAGGTCTGGGACAGGTAGGGGTTCCATAACCGCAGGCAGAACAGTTGAAACTGGAATAGCAGCAAGGCCAGGCGGACTGGGGACAGCAAGGAGTCACCACGGCCGGTAGTCCCGACGTATGGTCCTAGGGCTCAGGTCTCTCAGTTGGCTTTTCATAGCCGATCATTAAGAGTTGAAAACAGCAGGTCTGGGACAGGTAGGGGTTTCGTAACCGCAGGCAGAACAGTTGAAACTGGAATAGCAGCAAGGCCAGGCGGACTGGGGACAGCAAGGTGTCAGCATGTCCGGTAGTCCTGACGTATGGTCCTAGGGCTCAGGTTCTCAGAGAGAAAGAGAGAACGAGAGAATTAGAGAGAGCATACTTAAATTCACACAGGACACTGGATAAGACAGGAGAAGTACTCCAGGTATAACCAACTAACCCCAGCCCCCCGACACATAAACTACTGCAGCATAAATACTGGAGGCTGAGACAGGAGCGGTCCGGAGACACTGTGGCCCCATCCGAAGAAACCCCCGGACAGGGCCAAACAGGAAGGATATAACCCCACCCACTCTGCCAAAGCACAGCCCCCGCACCACTAGAGGGATATCCTCAACCACCAACTTACAATCCTGAGACAAGGCCGAGTATAGCCCACAGAGGTCTCCACCACAGCAAAAACCAAGGGGGGGCGCCAACCCAGACAGGAAGATCACGTCAGTAACTCAACCCACTCAAGTGACGCACCCCTCCTAGGGACGGCATGAAAGAGCACCAGCAAGCCAGTGACTCAGCCCCTGTAACAGGGTTAGAGGCAGAGAACCCCAGTGGAGAGAGGGGAACCGGCCTGGCAGAGACAGCAAGGGCTGTTCGTTGCTCCAGAGCCTTTCCGTTCACCTTCACACTCCTGGGCCAGACTACACTCAATCATATGACCTACTGAAGAGATAAGTCTTCAGTAAAGACTTAAAGGTTGAGACCGAGTCTGCGTCTCTCACATGGGTAGGCAGACTGTTCCATAAAAATGGAGATCTATAGGAGAAAGCCCTGCCTCCCGCTGTTTGCTTAGAAATTCTAGGGACAATTAGGAGGCCTGCGTCTTGTGACCGTAGCGTACGTATTGGTATGTACGGCAGGACCAACTCGGAAAGATAGGTAGGAGCAAGCCCATGTAACGCTTTATAGGTTAACAGTAAAACCTTGAAATCAGCCCTTGCCTTAACAGGAAGCCAGTGTAGGGAAGCTAGCACTGGAGTAATATGATCAAATTTATTGGTTCTAGTCAGGATTCTAGCAGCCGTATTTAGCACTAACTGAAGTTTATTTAGTGCTTTATCCGGGTAGCCGGAAAGTAGAGCATTGCAGTAGTCTAACCTAGAAGTAACAAATGCATGGATTAATTTTTCTGCATCATTTTTGGACAGAAAATTTCTGATTTTTGCAATGTTACGTAGATGGAAAAAAGCTGTCCTTGAAACAGTCTTGATATGTTCGTCAAAAGAGAGATCAGGGTCAAGAGTAACGCCGAGGTCCTTCACAGTTTTATTTGAGACGACTTTACAACCATCAAGATGAATTGTCAGATTTAACAGAAGATCTCTTTGTTTCTTGGGACCTAGAACAAGCATCTCTGTTTTGTCCGAGTTTAAAAGTAGAACGTTTTCAGCCATCCACTTCCTTATGTCTGAAACACAGGCTTCTAGCGAGGGCAATTTTGGGGCTTCACCATGTTTCATTGAAATGTACAGCTGTGTGTCATCCGCATAGCAGTGAAAGTTAACATTATGTTTTCGAATAACATCCCCAAGAGGTAAAATATATAGTGAAAACAATAGTGGTCCTAAAACGGAACCTTGAGGAACACCGAAATGTACAGTTGATTTGTCGGAGGACAGACCATTCACAGAGACAAACTGATATCTTTCCGACAGGTAAGATCTAAACCAGGCCAGAACTTGTCCGTGTAGACCAATTTGGGTTTCCAGTCTCTCCAAAAGAATGTGGTGATCGATGGTGTCAAAGGCAGCACTAAGGTCTAGTAGCACGAGGACAGATGCAGAGCCTCAGTCTGACGCCATTAAAAGGTCATTTACCACCTTCAGATGTTCGATCGGGTTCAAGTCCGGGCTCTGGCTGGGCCACTCAAGGACATTCAGAGACTTGTCCCGAAGCCACTCCTGCGTTGTCTTGGCTGTGTGCTTAGGGTCATTGTCCTGTTGGAAGGTGAACCTTCGCCCCAGTCTGAGGTCCTAAGTGCTCTGGAACAGGTTTTCATCAAGGATCTCTCTGTACTTTGCTCCGTTCATCTTTCCCTCGATCCTGACTAGTCTCCCAGTCCCTGCTGCCACCACCATGCTTCACCGTAGGGATGGTGCCAGGTTTCCTCCAGACGTGACGCTTGGCATTCAGGCCAAAGAGTTCAATCTTGGTTTCATCAGAGCAGAGAATCTTGTTTATCATGGTCTGAGAGTCCTTTAGGTGCCTTTTGGCAAACTCCAAGCGGGCTGTCGTGCCTTTTACTGAGGAGTGGCTTCCGTCTGGCCACTCTACCATAAATGCCTGATTGGTGGAGTGCTGCAGAGATGGTTGTCCTTCTGGAAGGTTCTCCGATCTCCACAGAGGTACTCTGGAGCTCTGTCAGAGTGACCATCGGGTTCTTGGTCACCTCCCTGACATAGGCCCTTCTCCCCCGATTGCTCAGTTTGGACCGGGCGGCCAGCTCTAGGAGTCTTGGTGGTTCCAAACTTCTTCCATTTAAGAATGATGGAGGCCACTGTGTTCTTGGGGAACTTCAATGCTGCAGAAATCTGTAAGGTGGAAGCAATATGGTGGAAGCTTCACCACTACACTGCCCTTTAGATCTGCATCAAGGGGTCACTCAGAACTCATCTCTCGCTCTCTTTTTTAAACATTTTTATTTAACCTTTATATAGACAATAAGGAAAGTCAATTAAGAACAAATTCTTATTTACAGTGACGCCCTCTCTTCTTCTCCCCTCTCCCCCCCCCCCCTCCCCCCTCTCTCCCCTCTCTCCCCCACCCCCCCTCTCCCCCCTCTCTCCTCTCTCTCCCCTCTCTTCCCTCTCTCCCCTCTCCCCCCTCTCCCCTCTCCCCCCTCTCCCCTCTCTTCCCCCTCCCTCCCCTCCCTCCCCCCTCTCTCCTCTCTCTTCCCTCTCTTCCTCCTCTCTCCCCTCTCTCCCCCCTCTCTCCTCTCTCTTCCCTCTCTCCTCTCTCTCCCCCTCTCTCCCCTCTCTCTCCTCTCTCTTCCCTCTCTCTCCTCTCTCTCCCCTCTCCCCCTCTCTCCCCTCTCCCCCCCTCCCCCCTCCCCTCTCTTCCCCCTCTCTCCCCTCCCTCCCCCCTCTCTCCTCTCTCTTCCCTCTCTTCCTCCTCTCTCCCCCTCTCTTCCCTCTCTCCCCCCTCTCTCCTCTCTCTTCCCCCTCTTCTCCCCTCTCTTCCCTCTCTTCCCCCTCTCTCCTCTCTCCCCTCTCCCCTCTCTCTCCCCTCTCTCCCACTCTCTCTCCCCTCTCTTCCCTCTCTCCCCCTCTCTCCCCTCTCATCTCCTCTCTCTCCCCTCTCCACTCTCTCTCCCCCCTCTCCCCCTCTCCCTCTCCCCTCTCTCCCCCTCTCTCCCCCCTCTCTCCCCTCTCCCCCCCCTCTCCTCCCCCTCCCTTCCCTCTCTCCACTCTCTCTCCCCTCTCCTCTCTCTCCTCTCTCTTCCCACTCTCTCCCCTCTCTCCTCCTCTCTCTCCCCTCTCTCCTCTCTCTCTCCCCTCTCTTCCCACTCTCTCCCCTCTCTCTCCTCTCTCTCCTCTCTCTCCCCTCTCCCCCAGATGGAGTTTGCCTGCAGTCACGTTGTGTGTAACTGGAGACCAGAAGGGAGTTTAGCGGAGGGGTCAGATGAAGGGGGGTCAGGTTTGAGTGTGTACCCCTGTAGTCCTCTAGGTGAGGGGGGGACCCCAGGTCCGGGTGTACCCCTCAGACTGTCTGTCACAGAGCACATGTACGACAACCGCATCTCAGTCATCCCTCAGCAAGGTAATGTACTGACGTGATACCGCTCATCACACATTCACACTGCTGCTGAGAGACCCACTCATTTTCACATACAGAGGAAACATCTGTGTGGGGTGGAGACTGACAAAAGTGTGAAAATGTTAGACATAGGAAACTTCACACACACACACACACACGCATACACACACTAGCCTAGATTATTTCCTTTCAGCTCTCACTGCAGTGTCACCATGTTCAAAGACACACCACCTTTCACACATCCACTTGAGCTCCATGGTGCTAAGAATGATGATGATGATGATGATGATGAAGAAGATGAGGATGGTGATACTATTGATAATGATACTATTGATGGTGATGATGATGGTGATACTATTGATGGTGATGATGGTGATAATATTTGGTATTTTGGGGTATTTTATTAGGATCCCCATTAGCTGTTGTTGCGAGAGCAGTAGCTACTCTTCCTGGGGTCCACACAAAACATGAAACATGACATAATACAGAACATTAATAGACAAGAACAGCTCAAGGACAGAACTGCATCAATAATATTGATGATGGTGATGTCTGTTTCCTTGCTTCAGAGCCAGGGATAGTGCCTCCACCTCTGCCCCCTCGACGGTTTGGGTCTCAGAAGCAACCCCGACCCACCTCTCTGCCTCCCCCACCTCCCCCTCTTTCCTCCCTGCCTCCCCCCCTACCAGCCCGAGGTGAGTATTTGGTTTGTTTCTGAATTGATTCCACAAGCATGTGTTTCTGAATACAGCCCTAGTTGTTGGTCAGGGTTAGATGTAGGCTATAGTGGTGTACAGTGAGGGAAAAAAGTATTTGATCCCCTGCTGATTTTGTACGTTTGCCCACTGACAAAGAAATGATCAGTCTATAATTTTAATGGTAGGTTTATTTGAACAATGAGAGTCAGAATAACAACAAAAAAATCCAGAAAAACGCATGTGTCACGGTTTCGGCCGAGGCTGCCTCTCTCCCTTGTTCGGGCAGGCTTTGGCGTTCGTCGTCTCCGGAATTCTAGCTGCCACCGCTATATGTTTCATGTTCGTTTGCTTTTGTCTGTTTGTTTCCACACCTGTTTCTGTTTTGACGTAATTAGTGTCCTATAAGTTTCTCGTTGTGTTTGTCTAGTGTTGTGTGTGATTGTTTCCGTCAGTGTTGTGTTTTGCTCGGTTGAGCGTATTTCTCCACTGTGCTGGAGCTTATTTGCACCTGTGTGTGCACCGTTACATTTTGTCGCACCTGTTAGTGCGCATTTACCTTTCGCCTTCGTGCGTGTTTTTGCTGTCGGGCTTAGTTGTCCTGTTGCCTGTGTTGGGCCAGTAATACAGCCTTTGGAACATTCAGTCTGCGTCCTGCGTTTGATTCCTACACTACACCTACAACACGCCCTGACAGCATGTCAAAAATGTTATGAATTGATTTGCATTTTAATGAGGGAAATAAGTATTTGACCCCCTCTCAATCAGAAAGATTTCTGGCTCCCAGGTGTCTTTTATACAGGTAACGAGCTGAGATTAGGAGCACACTCTTAAAGGGAGTGCTCCTAATCTCAGCTTGTTACCTGTATAAAAGACACCTGTCCACAGAAGCAATCAATCAATCAGATTCCAAACTCTCCACCATGGCCAAGACCAAAGAGCTCTCCAAGGATGTCAGGGACAAGATTGTAGACCTACACAAGGCTGGAATGGGCTACAAGACCATCGTCAAGCAGCTTGGTGAGAAGGTGACAACAGTTAGTGCGATTATTCGCAAATGGAAGAAACAAAAGAACTGTCAATCTCCCTCGGCCTGGGGCTCCATGCAAGATCTCACCTCGTGGAGTTGCAATGATCATGAGAACGGTGAGGAATCAGCCCAGAACTACACGGGAGGATCTTGTCAATGATCTCAAGGCAGCTGGGACCATAGTCACCAAGAAAACAATTGGTAACACACTACGCCGTGAAGGACTGAAATCCTGCAGCGCCCGCAAGGTCCCCCTGCTCAAGAAAGCACATATACAGGCCCGTCTGAAGTTTGCCAATGAACATCTGAATGATTCAGAGGAGAACTGGGTAAAAGTATTGTGGTCAGATGAGACCAAAATCGAGCTCTTTGGCATCAACTCAACTCGCCGTGTTTGGAGGAGGAGGAATGCTGCCTATGACCCCAAGAAAACCATCCCCACCATCAAACATAGAGGTGGAAACATTATGCTTTGGGGGTGTTTTTCTGCTAAGGGGACAGGACAACTTCACCGCATCAAAGGGACAATGGACGGGGCCATGTACCGTCAAATCTTGGGTGAGAACCTCCTTCCCTCAGCCAGGGCATTGAAAATGGGTCGTGGATGGGTATTCCAGCATGACAATTACCCAAAACACACGGCCAAGGCCACAAAGGAGTGGCTCAAGAATAAGCACATTAAGGTCCTGGAGTGGCCTAGCCAGTCTCCAGACCTTAATCCCATAGAAAATCTGTGGAGGGAGCTGAAGGTTCAAGTTGCCAAACGTCAGCCTCGAAACCTTAATGACTTGGAGAAGATCTGCAAAGAGGAGTGGGACAAAATCCCTCCTGAGATGTGTGCAAACCTGGTGGCCAACTACAAGAAACTTCTGACATCTGTGATTGCCAACAAGGGTTTTGCCACCAAGTACTAAGTCATGTTTTGCAGAGGGGTCAAATACTTATTTCCCTCATTAAAATGCAAATCTATTTATAACATTTTTGACATGCGTTTTTCTGGATTTTGTTGTTGTTATTCTGTCTCTCACTGTTCAAATAAACCTACCATTAAAATTATAGACTGATCATTTCTCTGTCAGTGGGCAAACGTACAAAATCAGCAGGGGATCAAATACTTTTTTTCCCTCACTGTAAATGCTTATAACCACTAGGCTAATAAATAAACAAGTTTTTATTTTTTATGATTTTAATAACCTACATTAGCATGAGAGCTACTTATAAAAAATGTAACATGTTGCTCCTCTGTTTTATTTCTAGCTTTCTAATAGGCACTTTCTTCTCCTCTCACCTGAAACTCTTCCCCGAGAAAGTAGTGCACTGTGTTTCTTGTCAATAAAGCTGGCAAAATAATGGTTAATAAACAACTCCAAGGGGGGGCATTAAGAGTTGTTTTTATATTTGATCAAATTATGTTCTGTTTTATTTTAATAGTAAAATAACTAAATTTGATGTTCTGAGTCCATCTCAAATCACTTCGCTTAAATCACAGTTCAGTGGTTATTATCATGCTGGTTGTTACATATCTGGGTCTCATCCTGTGTGTGTGTGTGTGTGTGTGTATTCTCAGGTGCAGAGGGCCAAGGAGAGCAGAGCATCAGATTGAAGGCTAATGTTAATGTTCTCTCTCTCAGTGTTGGACGACTCGTAGATATCAGTAGAGGTGAGTGTATTTATGGTCACACACACACACACACACACACATACACACACACACACACACACACACACACCCAGTGGAGGCTGCTGAGGGGAGGACGGCTCACAATAATGTCTGGAAAGGAGTAAATGGAATGGAATAAAACACATTCACCACATGGTTTCCATGGTTTCCAGGTGTTTGATACCATTCCATTGACTCCATTCCAGCCATTATTATAAGCCATCCTCCCCTCAGCAGCCTCCACTGCACACACCATAATTATCTCTCCCTCTCCTCCACAGCATCTGGCATCCAGACTACTCAGAGTCCCGTGATACACTGTGGGAGATGTAGTGCAGCCCTGTCCTCCCTGAGTTCTATACAGAACACACAGGACAGTTCCGTGAGTTTACACTCTTTCTTTCTCTCTCTCTCTCCTCTCTCTCTCTCTCTCTCTCTCTCCTCCTCTCTCCTCTCTCTCTCTCTCTCTCCCTCTCTCTCTCTCCTCTCTCTCTCTCTCTCTCTCTCCTCTCTCTCTCCTCGCTCCTCTCCTCTCGCACTCCTCTCTCTCTCTCTCTCCCTTCCCGCCGCAGTGCTCTCATTTCTTTCTGTCCTCCCCACTCCTTGTTTCTTCCTCCTTCACCTTCATCCTCTCCCTCTTCATCATCCTTTCCTTCATCCTCTCCATTTTCATCACCCTCTCCTTCACGCTCTCCCACTCCCTCATCATCTCCCTCTTCATTATCCTCTATTTCATCCTCTCCCTCTTCATCAACCTCTCCTTCAGCCTCTCCCACTCCCTCATCCTCTCCCTCTTCATCATCCTCTCTCCTTCACCTCCGCCCTCTTCATATCCCTCCTTCATCCTCCTTCTCCTTCATCCCTCTCCCTCTCCTTCATTTCCTCTCTCCCTCTTCATTTATTTCCCCTCCCTCTCCCTCTCCCTCTCCCTCTCCCTCATCTCTCCCTCTCACTCCCTCTTCCTCATCCTCTCCCTCTCCTTCATCCTCTCCCTCTTCATCATCCTCTCCCTCTCCCTCTCCCCTCTCCTTCATCCTCTCCCTCATCATCTCCCATTCCTTCATCCTCTCCCTCTCCTTCAACCTCTCCCTCTACTTCAGCCTCTCCCTCTCCTTCATCCTCTCCTTCTCCTTCATCCTCTCCCTCTCCTTCACCCTCTCCCTCTCCCTTTTCCTTCATCCTCTCCCTCTTCAATCAATCAATGAATCAAATGTTATTTATAAAGCCCTTTTACATCAGCAGATGTCACAAAGTGCTATACAGAAACCCAGCCTAAAACCCCAAACAGCAAGCAATGCAGATGTAGAAGCACGGTGGCTAGGAAAAACTCCCTAGAAAGGCAGAAACCTAGGAAGAAACCTAGAGAGGAACCAGACTCTGAGGGGTGGCCAGTCCCCTTCTGGCTGTGCCAGGTGGGGATTGTAACAGTACATGGCCATTAAGGCCAGATTTTTCTCCAAGATGTTCAAACATTCATAGATGACCAGCAGGGTCAAATAATAATCACAGTGGTTGTAGGGGTTGCAACAGGTCAGTACATCAGGAGTAAATGTAACTTGGCTTTTCATAGCCGGGCATTTAGAGGTTGAAATAGCAGGTGCGGTAGAGAGAGAGAGAGTTGAAAACAACAGGTCTGGGACAAGGTAACACGTCCGGTGAACAGGTCAGGGTTCCATAGCCGCAGGCAGAAGAGTGGAAACTGGAGCAGCAGCATGACCAGGTGGACTGGGGACAGCAAGGAGTCATCAGGCCAGGTAGTCCTGAGGCATGGTCCTAGGGCTCAGGTCCTCCAGGATGGGAGGGAGAGAGAGAGAGAGAGAATTAGAGGGAGCATACTTAAATTCACACAGGACACCGGATAAGACAGGAGAATAACACCAGATATAACAGACTGACCCTAGCCCCCCGGCACATAGACTATTGCAGCATAGATACTGGAGGCTGAGACTGGGGGGGTCGGGGGACACTGTGGGCCTGTCTGACGATACCCCCAGACAGGGCGAACCAGGCAGGATATAACCCACCCACTTTGCCAAAGCACAGCCCCCACACCACCAGAGGGATATCAACAGACCACCAACCTACTACCCTGAGACAAGGCTGAGTATAGCCCACGAAGATCTCCTCCACTGCACGAGCCCGAGGGAGCGACAAACCGGACAGGAAGATTACGTCAGTGACTCAACCTACGTAGGAACGGCATGGAAAGCACCAGTAAGCCAGTGACTCAGCCCCCGTAATAGGGTCAGAGGCAGAGAATCCCAGTGGAGAGAGGGGAACCGGCCAGGCAGAGACAGCAAGGGAAGTTTGTCGCTCCAGTGCCTTTCCGTTCACCTTCGGACCCCTGGGCCAGACTACACTCAATCATAGGACCTACTGAAGAGATGAGTCTTCAGTAAAGACTTAAAGGTCGAGACCGAGTCTGCGTCTCTCACATGGATAGGCAGACCATTCCATAGAAATTGAGCTATATAGGAGAAAGCCCTGCCTCCAGCTGTTTGCTTAGAAATTCTAGGAACAATAAGGAGGCCTGCGTCTTGTGACCGTAGCGTACGTGTAGGTATGTACGGCAGGACCAAATCGGAGAGATAGGTAGGAGCAAGCCCATGTAATGCTTTGTAGGTTAGCAGTAAAACCTTGAAATCAGCCCTAGCCTTAACAGGAAGCCAGCACTGGAGTAATATGATCACATTTTTTGGTTCTAGTCAAGATTCTAGCAGCCGTGTTTAGCACTAACTGAAGTTTATTTAGTGCTTTATCAGGGTAGCCGGAGAGTAGAGCATTGCAGTAGTCTAATCTAGAAGTGACAAAAGCATGGATTAGCTTTTCTGCATCATTTTTTTGACAAAAAGTTTCTGATTTTTGCAATGTTACGAAGATGGAAAAAAGCTGTCCTTGAAATATTCTTGATATGTTCGTCAAAAGAAAGATCATGGTCCTTCACAGTTTCTTTTTGAGACGACTGTACAACCATCAAGATTAATTGTCGGATCCAACAGATTATCTCTTTGTTTCTTGGGACCTAGAACTAGCATCTCTATTTTGTCCGAGTTTAAAAGTAAAACATTTGCCGCCATCTACTTCCTTATGTCTGAAACACAGGCTTCCAGGGTAGGCAGTTTTGGGGCTTCACCATGTTTCATCGAAATGTAGAGCTGTGTGTCGTCCGCATAGCAATGAAAGTTAACATTGTGTTTCCGAATGACATCACCAAGAGGTAAAATATATAGTGAAAACAATAGTGGTCCTAAAACGGAACCTTGAGGAACACCGAAACGTACAATTGATTTGTCAGAGGACAAACCATCCACAGAGACGAACTGATATCTTTCCGACAGATAAGATCTAAACCAGGCAAGAACTTGTCCGTGTAGACCCAATTAAGGTTTTCAATCTCTCCAAAAGAATGTGGTGATCGATGGTGTCAAAAGCAGCACTAAGGTCTAGGAGCACGAGGACAGATGCAGAGCCTTGGTCTGACGCCATTAAAAGGTAATTTACCACCTTCACGAGTGCGGTCTCAGTGCTATGATGGGGTCTAAAACCAGACTGTAGCATTTCCTATATATTTTTTGTCTTCAGGAAGGCAGTGAGTTGCTGCACAACAGCTTTTTCTAAAAATGTTGAGAGGAAAGGGAGATTCGATATAGGCCGATAGTTTTTTACATTTTCTGGGTCAAGGATTGGCTTTTTCAAGAGAGGCTTTATTACTGCCACTTTTAGTGAGTTTGGTTCACATCCGGTGGATAGGGAGCCATTTATTATGTTCAATATAGGAGGGCCAAGCACAGGAAGTAGCTCTTTCAGTAGTTTAGTTGGAATAGGGTCCAGTATGCAGCTTGAAGGTTTAGAGACCATTACTATTTTCATGAATGTTTCAAGAGATAAAGGATTAAAAAACTTGAGTGTCTCCATTGATCCTAGTTCCTGGCAGTTCTGTGCAGACTCAGGACAGCTGAGCTTTGGAGAAATACGCAGATTCAAAGAGGAGTCCGTAATTTGCTTTCTAATGATCATGATCTTTTCGTCGAAGAAGTTAATCAATTCATCACTGCTGAAGTGAAAGGCATCCTCTCTTGGGGAATGCTGCTTTTTAGTTAGCTTTGCGACAGTATGAAATAGAAATGTTGGATTGTTCTTATTCTCCTCAATTAGGTTGGAAAAATAGGGTGATCGAGCAGCAGTGAGGGCTCTTCTATATTGCTCTGTACTTTATTTTCACGCTAGTAGGAAGACTTCCATTTTGGTGGAGCACCATTTCCGTTCCAATTTTCAGGAGGCTTGCTTCAGGGCTCGGGTATTTTCTGTATACCAGGGAGCTAGTTTCTGGTGACAAATGTTTTTTGTTTTTAGGGGTGCGACTGCATCTAGGGTATTACGCAAGGTTAAATTTAGATCCTCAGTTAGGTTGTTAATTGATTTTTGTACTCCGACGGCCTCTAGGAATCTGTGGGTTGTCCGAGAATTTATAGCACGGCTTTTGATGGTCCTTGGTTGGGGTCTGAGCAGATTATTTGTTGCGATTGCAAACGTAATAAGATGGTGGTCCGATTGTCCTGGGTTATGAGGAAAAACATTTAGATCCACAATATTTATTCCACGGGACAAAACTAGATCCAGGGTATTCCGGAGACCTGTTGGACAAAACCCACTGAGTCGATGATGGCTCCGAAAGCCTTTTGGAGTGGGTCTGTGGACTTTTCCATGTGAATATTAAAGTCACCAAAAATGTGAATAGTATCTGCCATGACTACAAGGTCCGATAGGAATTCAGGGAACTCAGTGAGGAACTCTGTATACGGCCCAGGAGGCCTGTAAACAGTAGCTATAAAAAGTGATTGAGTAGGCTGCATAGATTTCATGACTAGAAGCTCAAAAGACTAAAACGCAGTCATTTTTGGGGGGGTAAATTGACATTTGCTATCGTAAATGTTAGCAACACCTCCGCCTTTGAGGGATGCGTGGGGGATACGGTCACCAGTGTAACCAGGAGGAGAGGCCTCATTTAACACAGTCAATTCATCAGGCTTAAGACATGTTTCAGTCAGGCCAATCACATAAAGATTATGATCAGTAATTAGTTAATTGACCACAACTGCCTTGGAAGTGAGGGATCTAACATTAAGTAGCCCTATTTTGAGATGTGAGATATCACAATATCTTTCAATAATGACAGGAATGGAGGAGGTCTTTATTCCAGTGAGATTGCTAAGGCAAACACTGCCAGGTTTAGTTTTGCTCAACCTAGATCGAGGCACAGACACGGTCTCAATGGGGACTACACTGACTGTGCTAGTGGCAGACTCCACTAAGCTGGCAGGCTGGCTATAAGCCTGCTACCTGGCCTGCACCCTGTCTCATTGTGGAGCTAGAGGAGTTAGAGCCCTCTTCATCAGCCTCTCCCTCACCTTCATCCTCTCCCTCTCCTTCATTCTCTCCCTCCCCTTCATCCTCTCCCACTCCTTCATCCTCTCCCTCTCCTTTATCCTCTCCCTCTCCTTCATCCTCTCCCTCTCCTTAATCCTCTCCCTTCCCTTCATCCTCTCCCCTCTCCTTCAGCCTCGTCTTCGTCCTCTCCTTCCCCTTCATCCTCTCCCTCTCCTTCAGCCTCTCCCTCAGCCTCTCCCTCTCCTTCAGCCTCTCCTTCAGTCTCTCCCTCTCCTTCATCCTCTCCCTCTCCTTCAGCCTTTCCTTCAGCCTCTACTTCATCCTCTCCCTCTCCTTCATCCTCTCCCTCTCCTTCAGTCTCTCCCTCTCCTTCATCCTCTCCCTCTCTTTCAGCCTCTCCTTCAGCCTCTACTTCATCCTCTCCTTCTCATCATCCTCTCCCTCTCCTTCAGTCTCTCCCCCTCCTTCAGCCTCTACTTCATCCTCTCCCTCTCCTTCATCCTCTCCCTCTCCTTCAGTCTCTCCCCCTCCTTCAGCCTCTCCCTCTACTTCATCCTCTCCTCTCCTTATCCTCTCCCTCCCCTTCATCCTCTCCCCCTCCTTCAGCCTCTCTCCCACTCCTTCATCCTCTCCCCCTCCTTCATCCTCTCCCTCTCCTTCAGTCTCTCCCCCTCCTTCAGCCTCTCCATCTACTTCATCCTCTCCCTCTCCTTTATCCTCTCCCTCCCCTTCATCCTCTCCCCCTCCTTCAGCCTCTCCCACTCCTTCATCCTCTCCCCCCCTCCTTCATCCTCTCCCCTCTCCTTCAGTCTCTCCCCCTCCTTCAGCCTCTCCCTCTACTTCATCCTCTCCCTCTCCTTCAGCCTCTCCCTCTCCTTCATCCTCTCCCTCTCCTTCATCCTCTCCCTCTCCTTCAGCCTCTCCCTCTCCTTAGCCTCTCCTTCTCCTTCAGCCTCTCCCACTCCTTAGCCTCACCTTCTCCTTCAGCCTCTCCCACTCCTTAGCCTCACCTTCTCCTTCATCCTCTCCCACTCCTTCATCCTCTCCCTCTCCTTAGCCTCTCCTTCTCCTTCAGCCTCTCCCACTCCTTCTCCTCTCCCCCTCCTTCAGCCTCTCCCTCTCCCTTCATCCTCTCCCTCTCTTCAGCCTCTCCTTCATTCGCCTCTCCCTTTCCCTTCATCCTCTCTCTCCCTCGCCTTCAGCCTCTCCCAATCTCCTAGCCTCTCCTCTCCTTCAGCCTCCTCCCACCCCTTCATCCTCTCCCTCTCCTTCAGCATCTTTCTTTCCTCCCCTCTTCCTGTTCGTTTCAATTCAATTCAATAAATTCAAGTCAGTTATCTTGTTGACTAGTAGTAATGCTCTCTCTCTCTCTCTTCTCTCATCTCTCCTCTCTCTCTCTCTCTCTCTCTCTCCTCTCTCTCTCTCTCTCTTCCTCTCTTCTCTCCTCTCTCTCTTCCCTCATCCTCTCTCTCTCTCCTCCTCTCCTCCTCTTCCTCTCTCCTCCTCCTCTCCGTCTCTCTCTCTTCCTCTCTCTCTCCCTCTCTCTCTCACGGTGTGGCTGTGTGAGTTCTGTGGTCTCCAGAACACCCTGTCTACCTCAGGCCCCGGGGCTGGTTCCAAGGTGGGCCTCAGGGTTAGAGGGGCTCCTCGAGGGAGAGATGTGATCTACCTCCCCCTTCAGACTGACCAGGACTACGAGAACCTAGAAGATGTCATGGTGGTCTTCTGTGTTGATATATCTGGGAGCATGAGTGTCACCTCCGAGGTGTGTAGTCTGTCTGTCTGTCTTTCTGTCTACAAGCTATGGCTGTACCTCAATCTATCTGTCTGTCTGTCTGTCTGTCTGTCTGTCTGTCTGTCTGTCTGTCTGTCTGTCTGTCTGTCTGTCTGTCTGTCTGTCTGTCTGTCTGTCTGTCTGTCTGTCTGTCTGTCTGTCTGTCTGTCTGTCTGTCTGTCTGTCTGTCTGTCTGTCTGTCTGTCTGTCTGTCTGTCTGTCTGTCTGTCTGTCTGTCTGTCTGTCTGTCTGTCTGTCTGTCTGTCTGTCTGCCTGCCTGCCTGCCTGCCTGCCTGCCTGCCTGCCTGCCTGCCTGCCTGCCTGCCTGCCTGCCTGCCTGCCTGCCTGCCTGCCTGCCTGCCTGCCTGCCTGCCTGCCTGCCTGCCTGCCTGCCTGCCTGCCTGCCTGCCTGTCTGTCTGTCTGTCTGTCTGCCTGCCTGTCTGTATGTCTGTATGTCTACAAGCTATGGCTGTACCTTAATCTGTCTGTCTGTCCGTTCGTTTATGTCACAAACGAGACTCCCGCTGTTCCTCCTGCTCACCACCAGAGGGAACCCTCTCCTGAGTATTAAACCCCTGAACTACATTTCCCACATACCTGGCTCTGATTACCGTTGCACCTGACTCCCATCAGTAGACTATTTAGGTGCTCTCAAACTCTCTCTCTTTGCGAAGTCTTGTTAACCCTGGTGATCATTTCTGAGCGTTTTCGCCTGTGTCTGTCTGCCCGTGGATTTACTCTGGACTGTTTTTCCCTCCTTGATTCTGTCACAAACGAGACTCCCGCTGTTCCTCCTGCTCACCACCAGAGGGTTCCCTCTGGTGGTGAGCAGGAGGAACAGCGGGAGTCTCGTTTGTGACAGTTTACAACCTATGGCTATACCTCAGTCTGTCTGTCCGTCTCCAAACTCTATCCCACTGCATATATATTTTCTTCCCAGGTCTCCCCAGGGAATGCTATGAGGTCACCAACCTATGTCTCCCGACAACAGGTACTTATGTTTGTTCCAGTGTTCTGTATGTATATATTATATTATTATATATACAGTGGAGGGAAAAAGGTATTTGATTTTGTACATTTGCCCACTGACAAAGAAATGATCAGTCTATCATTTTAATGGTAGGTTTATTTGAACAGTGAGAGACAGAATAACAACAAAAAAATCCAGAGAAACGCATGTCAAAAATGTTATAAATATGTTTGTAAACAAACTTATGTTTGTTCCAGTGTTCTGTATTTATATTATATATATATATTTTATATATTATATTTTATATGGATACGAGGGGTCTGCTAAAGGAGCTGGGACTAAAAATAAAAAAAATAAACAAGATAACTAATGTAAAACATACTGTGTCCGTAAAATGTACACAGGTTCAGAACTTTTGTGAAAACATCACAGCACAGTTGAAAAATATATGACAAATAGAAATCACAGAGTAGCTGAAGGGTGGGACTAAAAAAGGTAACTAATGTAAAATATACTGTGTCCGTAAAATCTATATAGGATGCATAAACTGGATGTGTTGTTGTCCATTCGTTTACTCCAATTAGGGGAGGGGTTAGGGGAAAATAACAATACATCAAATATTAAATATATATATATACAGTATATACAGTATATATATATATATATATATATATATATATATATATATATATATATATATATACAGTGGTGTGAAAAAGTGTTTGCCCCCTTCCTGATTTCTTATTTGTTTGCATGTTTGTCACACTTAAATGTTTCAGATCATCAAACAAATTTAAGTATTAGTCAAAGATAACACAAGTAAACACTAAATGCAGTTTTGAAATGAAGGTTGTTATTATTAAGGGAAAACAAAAATCCAAACCCACATGGCCCTGTGTGAAGAAGTGATTGCCCCCTACAACCTAATAACTGGTTGGGCCACCCTTAGCAGCAACAACTGCAATCAAGCGTTTGCGATAACTTGCAATGAGTCTTTTACAGCGCTGTGGAGGAATTTTGGCCTGTTGGTATGATGTTCTTTTTCTGAAATGCGGTGTTACTTTTACGCCAGATGTAATGGGACACACACCTTCCAAAAAGTTCAACTTTTGTCTCGTCAGTCCACAGAGTATTTTCCCAAAGGTCTTGGGGATCATCAAGATGTTTTCTGGCAAAAATGAGACGAGCCTTAATGTTATTTTTGCTCAGCAGTGGTTTTCGTCTTGGAACTCTGCCATGCAGGCCATTTTTGCCCAGTCTCTTTCTTATTGTGGAGTCATGAACACTGACCTTAACTAAGGCAAGTGAGGCCAGCAGCTCTTTTGATGTTGTTGTGGGGTCTTTTGTGACCTCTTGGATGAGTCGTCGCTGCGCTCTTGGGGTAATTTTGGTCGGCCGGCCACTCCTGGGAAGGTTCACCACTGTTCCATGTTTTCGCCATTTGTGGATAATGGCTCTCACTGTGGTTCGCTGGACACTAACAGCTTACAGACGGTAGGCAATTAAGGTCACAGTTATGAAAACCTAGGACACTAAAGAGGCCTTTCTACTGACTCTGAAAAACACCAAAAGAAAGATGCCCAGGGTCCCTGCTAATCTGCGTGAACGTGCCTTAGGCATACTGCAAGGAGGCATGAAGACTGCAGATGTGGCCAGGGCAATAAATTGCAATGTCTGTACTGTGAGATGCCTAAGACAGCGCTACAGGGAGACAGGACGGACAGCTGATCATCCTCGCAGTGGCAGACCACGTGTAACAACACCTGCACAGGATCGGTACATCCGAACATCACACCTGCGGAACAGGTACAGGATGGCAACAACAACTGCCCGAGTTACATCAGGAACGCACAATCCCTCCATCAGTGCTCAGACTGTCCGTAATAGGCTGAGAGAGGCTGGACTGAAGGCTTGTAGGCCTGTTGTAAGGCAGGTCCTCACCAGACATCACCGACAACAACGTCGCCTATGGGCACAAACCCACAGTCGCTGGACCAGACAGGACTGGCAAAAAGTGCTCTTCACTGACGAGTCGCAGTTTTGTCTCACCAGGGGTGATGGTCGGATTCGCGTTTATCGTCGAAGGAATGAGCGTTACACCTGAGCCTGTACTCTGGAGCGGGATCGATTTGGAGATGGAGGGTCCGTCATGGTCTGGGGCGGTGTGTCACAGCATCATCGGACTGAGCTTGTTGTCACTGCAGGCAATCTCAACGCTGTGCGTTACAGGGAAGACATCCTCCTCCCTCATGTGATACCCTTCCTGCAGGCTCATCCTGACATGACCCTCCAGCATGACAATGCCACCAGCCATACTGCTCGTTCTGTGTGTGATTTCCTGCAAGACAGGAATGTCAGTGTTCTGCCATGGCCAGCGAAGAGCCAGGATCTCAATCCCATTGAGCACGTCTGGGACCTGTAGGTTCAGAGGGTGAGGGCTAGGGCCATTCCCCACAGAAATGTCTGGGAACTTGCAGGTGCCTTGGTGGAAGAGTGGGGTAACATCTCACAGCAAGAACTGGCAAATCTGGTGCAGTCCATGAGGAGGAGATGCACTGCAGTACTTAATGCAGCTGGTGGCCACACCAGATACTGACTGTTACTTTTGATTTTGACCCCCCCTTTGTTCAGGGACACATTATTCAATGTCTGTTAGTTACATGTCTGTGGAACTTGTTCAGTTTATGTCTCAGTTGTTGAATCTTGTTATGTTCATACAAATATTTACACATTGCTGAAAATAAACGCAGTTGACAGTGAGAGGATGTTTATTTCAGAAAAAATATATGGGGGATTGGAAATTATTCAGACAATTACATTGAGCCACAATCTATTTGCAATATTAAAGCTGATCCACCTCCAAACAAAAAAGGACTAGTCTCTTTCAGATGGAATGCAGAGTCTAGAAACGTGAAATGCGAGAAGGATTCTAATAAAAGGAATGATATGTCAACGCTCTTCTCTCTCTCTCTCTGTAGAGTATTCAGGATGCCCTCCAGAGGGCGCTGTCCTCTCTACTTCAGACTTCACCTCACCGTCGAGTCGCCATGGTTACCTTCAATGACGAGGTATTGATTGATTTATTGATAGATTTTTTTTTTTTTTTAAATAGAGCGAGTAGAGGTTTTGGAGGGAGGGAGGGAGGGAGGGAGGCTGAGGGGTATAGTGAGAGGGAGGGAGGGAGGGAGGGAGCGAGGGAGCGAGGGAGGGAGGGAGGGAGGGAGGGAGGGAGGGAAACAGGTCCTGGTGTGACACAAATCATATTTTTTTTAATGTATTTTCACTCAGCAGAAATCAGCAAACTCTCACCTCTTGTTGTCAACACAGAGAGACGAAGAAGCTAAGGACTTTATAGTTTTAAGATTATGACACATCTCTCTTCCTTTTTGATGTTCCAGACACAAGTTATAAGAGCCACCACATACCAATGCTGGCAATAAGACCGCACTCAATGAGCTGTACAAGCAAACAGGAAAACGCTCATCCAGAGGCAGCGCTCCTAGTGGCCGGGGACTTTAATGCAGGGAAACTTAAATCCGTTTTACCTCATTTCTACCAGCATGTTAAATGTGCAACCAGAGGAAAAAAACTCTAGACCACCTTTACTCCACACACAGAGACGCATAAAAAGCTCTTCCTCGCCCTCCAATTGGCAAATCTGACCATAACTCTATCCTCCTTGATTCCTGCTTACAAGCAAAAACGAAAGCATGAAGCACCAGTGACTCGGTCAATAAAGAAGTGGTCAGATGACACAGATGCTAAGCTACAGGACTGTTTTGAATATGTTCCAGGATTCTTCCGATGGCATTGAGGAGTACACCACATCAGTAACTGGCTTCATCAAAATGTGCATCGATGACATCATCCCCACAGTGACCGTATGTACCCCAACCAGAAGCCATGGATTACAGGCAACATCCGCACTGAGCTAAAGGATAGGGTGGCCACTTTCAAGGAGCGGGATTCTAACCCGGACGCTTATAAGAAATCCCGCTATCCCCTCCGACGAACCATCAAACAGGCAAAGCGTCAATACAGGACTAAGATTGAATTGTACTACACCGGCTCCGACGCTCATTCGATGTGGCAGGGCTTGCAAACTATTACAGACTACAAAGGGAAGCACAGCCGCGAGCTGCCCAGTGACACGAGCCTACCAGACGAGCTAAATTACTTCTATGCTCGCTTCGAGGCAAGCAACACTGAAGCATGCATGAGAGCATCAGCTGTTCCGGACGACTGTGTGATCACGCTCTCCGTAGCCGATGTGAGTAAGACCTTTAAACAGGTCAACATTCACAAGTCCGCAGGGCCAGACGGATTACCAGGACCTGTACTCCGAGCATGCAGTGACCAACTGGCAAGTGTCTTCACTGACATTTTCAACCTGTCCCTGACTGAGTCTGTAATACCAACATGTTTCAAGCAGACCACCATAGTCCCCGTGCCCAAGAACACCAAGATAACCTGCCTAAATGACTACCGACCCGTAGCGCTCACGTATGTAGTCATGAAGTGCTTTGAAAGACTGGTCATGGCTCACATCAACACCATTATCCCAGAAACCCTAGACCCACTCCAATTTGCATACCACCCCAACAGATCCAGAGATGATGCAATCTCTATTGCACTCCACACTGCCCTTTCCCACCTGGACAAGAGGAACACCTACGTGAGAATGCTATTCATTGTCTACAGCTCAGCGTTCAACACCATAGTACCCTCAAAGCTCATCACTAAGCTAAGGACCCTGGGACTAAATACCTCCCTCTGCAACTGGATCCTAGACTTCCTGACGGGCCGCCCCCAGGTGGTAAGGGTAGGTAACAACACATCTGCCACACTGATCCTCAACACGGGGGTCCCTCAGGGGTGCGTGCTTAGTCCCCTCCTGTACTCCCTGTTCACCCATGACTGCATGGCCAGGCACGACTCCAACACCATCATTAAGTTTGCCAATGACACAACAGTGGTAGGCCTGATCACCGACAACGATGAGACAGCCTATAGGGAGGAGGTCAGAGACCTGGCCGTGTGGTGCCAGGATAACAACCTCTCCCTCAACGTGATCAAGACAAAGGAGATGATTGTGGACTACAGGAAAAGAAGAGGACCGAGGACCATTCTCATCGACGGGGCTGTAGTGGAACAGGTTGAGAGCTTCAAGTTCCTTGGTGTCCACATCACCAACAAATTAACAGGGTCCAAACACACCAAGACAGTCGTGAAGAGGGCACAACAAAGCCTATTCCTCCTCAGGAGACTGAAAAGATTTGGCATGGGTCCTCAGATCCTCAAAAAGTTATACAGCTGCACCATTGAGAGCATCCTGACTGGTTGCATCACTGCCTGGTATGGCAACTGCTCGGCACTACAGAGGGTAGTGCGTACGGCCCAGTACATCACTGGGGCCAAGCTTCCTGCCATCCAGGACCTTCCTGCAATCCAGGACCCACCCCCTCTTTTACACTGCTTCTACTCTCTGTTTATTATCTATGCATAGTCACTTTAACTCTACCTACATGTACATATTACCTCGACTAACCTGTGCCCCCGCACATTGACTCGGTACCGGTACCCCCTGTATATAGCCTCACTACTGTTATTTTACTGCTGCTCTTTAATTATTTTGTATTTTATACTTATCTATTTTTTACTTAACACTTATTTTTCTTAAAACTGCATTGTTGGTTAAGGGCTTGTAAGTAAGCATTTCACTGTAAGGTCTACACCTGCTGTATTCGGCGCATGTGACAAATACACTTTGATTTGATTTGATTTGATTTCTGTATAGACAGGATTATTTACATAATTTTGGCCAATTTTATTAAATTGACTTTTGGGGAAGCTTAGGTTCCCATAGCGTATGTGTGTACCTACTAACCTGCCTACCTGTGTACCTACTAACCTGCCTACCTGTGTACCTACTAACCTGCCTACCTGTGTACCTACTAACCTGCCTACCTGTGTACCTACTAACCTGCCTACCTGTGTACCTACTAACCTGCCTACCTGTGTACCTACTAACCTGCCTACCTGTGTACCTACTAACCTGCCTACCTGTGTACCTACTAACCTGCCTACCTGTGTCCCTACTAACCTGCCTACCTGTGTACCTACTAACCTGCCTACCTGTGTCCCTACTAACATGTGTACCTACTAGCCTGCCTACCTGTGTACCTACTAACCTGCCTACCTGTGTACCTACTAACCTGCCTACCTGTGTACCTACTAACCTGTGTACCTACTAACCTGCCTACCTGTGTACCTACTAAACTGTCTACCTGTGTACCTACTAACCTGCCTACCTGTGTCCCTACTAACCTGCCTACCTGTGTACCTACTAACCTGCCTACCTGTGTCCCTACTAACATGTGTCCCTACTAACCTGTGTACCTACTAACCTGCCTACCTGTGTCCCTACTAACCTGCCTACCTGTGTACCTACTAACCTGCCTACCTGTGTACCTACTAGCCTGCCTACCTGTGTCCCTACTAACATGTGTACCTACTAGCCTGCCTACCTGTGTACCTACTAACCTGCCTACCTGTGTACCTACTAACCTGCTTACCTGTGTCCCTACTAACCTGCCTACCTGTGTACCTACTAACCTGCCTACCTGTGTACCTACTAACCTGCCTACCTGTGTACCTACTAACCTGCCTACCTGTGTACCTACTAACCTGCCTACCTGTGTACCTACTAACCTGTGTACCTGTGTACCTACTAACCTGCCTACCTGTGTCCCTACTAACCTGCCTACCTGTGTCCCTACTAACCTGCCTACCTGTGTCCCTACTAACCTGCCTACCTGTGTCCCTACTAACCTGCCTACCTGTGTCCCTACTAACCTGTATCCCTACTAACCTGCCTACCTGTGTCCCTACTAACCTGCCTACCTGTGTCCCTACTAACCTGCCTACCTGTGTACCTGTTGCATCTTTTCTTGATTGTTATGATAATTCTTCCTCCCTCTCTCTCTCTCTCTCCCGTCCCTCCCCTCCCTCCCTCTCTCCCTCTCTCTCTCTAGGTAGTAGTGTATGGTGATGGTTCAGGTGTACCAGTCTCTCTGAGGGACTGGGCTCTAGTTGATTATGACTACTTGAGACAACAGGGTCAACAGTACAACACTCCACACTGTATAGCAGAGAGCTACCAACACCTCTCACTGAGAGTCAAAGAGTGAGTCTGTCTGTCTGTCTGTCTGTCTGTCTGTCTGTCTGTCTGTCTGTCTGTCTGTCTGTCTGTCTGTCTGTCTGTCTGTCTGTCTGTCTGTCTGTCTGTCTGTCTGTCTGTCTGTCTGTCTGTCTGTCTGTCTGTCTGTCTGTCTGTCTGTCTGTCTGTCTGGCTGGCTGGCTGGCTGGCTGGCTGGCTGGCTGTCTGTCTGTCTGTCTGTCTGTCTGGCTGGCTGGCTGGCTGGCTGGCTGGCTGGCTGGTTGGCTGGCTGGCTGGCTGGCTGGCTGGTTCGCTGTCCGTCCATCCACATTGGTTTCTCTGGCTGGCTGTCTGTCTGGCTGTTTGTTCGTCTGGCTGGTTGACTGCCTGCCTGTCTGTCCATCTGTATGTCTTATTAAAACTATATCTCTCTCTCCCCTTTCCAACTCTCTCTCTCTCCCCTGTCTCTTTCTCTCCCCACTCTATCCTCCCTCCATCTCTCCAGGTTGCGTGAACACGGGGCTACAGCGTTGGGTCCTGCAGCCTTGGTCTCCGTTGCCATGGCGTCTCGATTCGTGGGGTCAAAGGTCAGTCAAAGCTGAGCGTTCCATCCAACAGCAGTGCACTTCCTGTATCACAGCCAATCAGATGCCTCGTTGAAATTCTGACAGCCTATCAGACACCATGTCTCATTTCTGTCTGTTTGTCATTGTTATGACCAGTTATAACCGCTCAGTGTTCTGTGTTCTGTGATTGGTTGACCTCTAGGTGATCTTGTGTACAGACGGGCGAGCTAACATCGGATTGGGTGAGATGGAGGAGAGCCCCGCCCCTTTCTCCTCCCCCCAGTCACCTTACTTCTACAGACAGCTAGCCAACGAGGCAGCTAACAGCGGGTTAGTGTACCCCCTAACTAGCCCACGAGGCAGCTAACAGCGGGTTAGTGTACCCCCTAACTAGCCCAGGAGGTAGCTAACAGAGGGTTAGTACCCCCTAACTAGCCCAGGTGGTAGGTAACAGAGGGTTAGTACCCCCTAACTAGCCCAGGTGGTAGGTAACAGAGGGTTAGTACCCCATAACTAGCCCAGGAGGTAGCTAACAGAGGGTTAGTACCCCCTAACTAGCCCAGGAGGTAGCTAACAGAGGGTTAGTACCCCCTAACTAGCCCAGGAGGCAGCTAACAGAGGGTTAGTACCCCCTAACTAGCCCAGGAGGTAGCTAACAGAGGGTTAGTGTACCCCATAACTAGCCCAGGAGGTAGCTAACAGAGGGTTAGTACCCCATAACTAGCCCAGGTGGTAGCTAACAGAGGGTTAGTGTACCCCCTAACTAGCCCAGGAGGCAGCTAACAGAGGGTTAGTACCCCCTAACTAGCCCAGGAGGCAGCTAACAGAGGGTTAGTACCCCCTAACTAGCCCAGGAGGTAGCTAACAGAGGGTTAGTGTACCCAATAACTAGCCCAGGAGGTAGCTAACAGAGGGTTAGTGTACCCCATAACTAGCCCAGGAGGCAGCTAACAGAGGGTTAGTGTACCCCCTAACTAGCCCAGGAGGTAGCTAACAGAGGGTTAGTGTACCCCATAACTAGCCCAGGAGGTAGCTAACAAAGGGTTAGTACCCCCTAACTAGCCCAGGAGGTAGCTAACAGAGGGTTAGTACCCCATAACTAGCCCAGGAGGCAGCTAACAGAGGGTTAGTACCCCATAACTAGCCCAGGAGGCAGCTAACAGAGGGTTAGTGTACCCCATAACTAGCCCAGGAGGTAGCTAACAGAGGGTTAGTACCCCCTAACTAGCCCAGGAGGTAGCTAACAGAGGGTTAGTACCCCCTAACTAGCCCAGGAGGCAGCTAACAGAGGGTTAGTACCCCCTAACTAGCCCAGGTGGTAGCTAACAGAGGGTTAGTACCCCCTAACTAGCCCAGGAGGTAGCTAACAGAGGGTTAGTGTACCCCATAACTAGCCCAGGTGGTAGATAACAGAGGGTTAATACCCCCTAACTAGCCCAGGAGGCAGCTAACAGAGGGTTAATACCCCCTAACTAGCCCAGGAGGCAGCTAACAGAGGGTTAGTACCCCCTAACTAGCCCAGGAGGTAGCTAACGAGGTTAGACCCCTAACTGCCAGGAGTAGCTACGGGGTTAGTACCCCCCCCTAACTAGGCCCTAGAGTGTAGCTACAGAGGTAGTACCCCTAACTAGCCAGGAGGTAGCTAACAAGGGTTAGTACCCCCTAACTACCCAGGAGGTAGCTAACAGAGGTTGTACCCCCTACACTAAGCCAGAGTGCTAACAGAGGTTAGTACCCCCTCTACCCAGAGGTAGCTAACAAGGGTGTACCCCCTAACTAGCCAGGAGTCATCTAACAGGGGTTAGACCCCCTACTAGCCCAGGAGCCGTAACAAGGGTTAGTACCCCCGTAACTAGCCTCAGGAAGCTAACAGAGGGTAGTACCCCCTAACTGCCCAGGAGGTAGCCTAACAGAGGGTTAGTACCCCCTAACTAGCCCAGGTGGTAGCTAACAGAGGGTTAGTGTACCCCCAAAAACCTCAATGCACCCCCAAACATCCATGCCAAATAGCTTATCACAAAAACTCCTCAAAACCTTTAAGGAATGGTGGTTGACGGTGTATTATTTCACTCTGCAGGGTGATGATTGATCTGTCATGTATTTTCTGTTTCTGCAGCGTGATAGTTTCAGTGATGACCTTTGAGGGAACAGACTGCAGGTTGGCTGAGGTGGGGCTTCTGGCTGACCAGACTGGAGGAAGGGTGAGAGACACACACCTGAACCCAGTCTTCTCCATTAACACACACCTGAACCCAGTCTTCTCCATTAACACACACCTGAACCCAGTCTTCTCCCATTAACACACAACCTGAACCCAGTCTTTCTCCATTAACACACACCTGAACCCAGTCTTATCCATTAACACACACCTGAACCCAGCTTTTCTCCATTAACACACACCTGAACCCAGTCTTCTCCATTAACACACACCCTGAACCCAGTCTCTCCATTAACACACACCTGAACCCAGTCTTCTCCATTAACACACACCTGAACCCAGTCTTCTCCATTAAACCAACCTGAACCCAGTCTTCTCCATTAACACACACCTGAACCCAGTCTTCTCCATTAACACACACCTGAACCAGTCTTTCTCCATTAACACACACCTGAACCCAGTCTTCTCCATAACACACACCTGAACCCCAGTCTTTCTCCATTAACACACACCTGAACCCAGTCTTCTCCATTGACACACACCACCTGAACCCAGTCTTCTCCATTAACACACACCTGAACCCAGTCTTCTCCATGAACACACCTGAACCCAGTCTTCTCCATTAACACACACCTGAACCCAGTCTTCTCCATTAACACACACCTGAACCCAGTCTTCTCCATTAACACACACCTGAACCCAGTCTTCTCCATTAACACACACCTGAACCCAGTCTTCTCCATTAACACACACCTGAACCCAGTCTTCTCCATTAACACACACCTGAAACCCAGTCTTCTCCATTAACACACACCTGAACCCAGTCTTCTCCATTAACACACACCTGAACCCAGTCTTCTCCATTAACACACACCTGAACCCAGTCTTCTCATTAACACACACCTGAACCCAGTCTTCTCCATTAACACACACCTGAACCCAGTCTTCTCCATTAACACACACCTGAACCCAGTCTTCTCCATTAACACACACCTGAACCCAGTCTTCTCCATGAACACACACCTGAACCCAGTCTTCTCCATTAACACACACCTGAACCCAGTCTTCTCCATGAACACACACCTGAACCCAGTCCCTTCTCCATTAACACACACCTGAACCCAGTCTTCTCCATTTACACACCTGAAACCCAGTCTTCTCCATTAACACACACCTGAACCCAGTCTTCTCCATTAACACACACCTCAACCCAGTCTTCTCCATTAACACACACACTGAACCCAGTCTTCTCCATTGACACACACCTGAACCAGTTCTTCTCCATTGACACACACCTGAACCAGTCTTCTCCATTAACACCACTGAACCCAGTCTTCTCCATTAACACACACCTGTGAACCCATTATTCTCCATTAACACACACCTGAAACCCAGTCTTCTCCATTAACACACACCTGAACCCATATTCTCCATTAACACACACCTGAACCCAAGTCTTCTTCCATTAACACACACCTGAACCCAGTCTTCTCCATTAACACACCACCTGAACCCAGTCTTCTCCATTAACACAACACCTGAACCCAGTCTTCTCCATTAACACACACCTGAACCCAGTCTTCTCCATTAACACACACCTGAACCCAGTCTTCTCCATTAACACACACCTGAACCCAGTCTTCTCCATTAACACACACCTGAACCCAGTCTTCTCCATTAACACACACCTGAACCCAGTCTTCTCCATTAACACACACCTGAACCCAGTCTCTCCATAAACACCACCTGAACCCAGTCTTCTCCATGAACCACACCTGAACCCAGTTTCTCCATTAACACACACCTGACCCAGTCTTCTCCATTGACACACACACCTGAACCAGTCTTCTCCATTGACACACACCTGAACCCAGTCTTCTCCATTAACACACACCTGAACCAGTCTTCTCCATTAACACACACTGAACCCAGTATTCTCCATTAAACACCACACCTGAACCCAGTATTCTCCATTAACACACACCTGAACCCAGTCTTCTCCATTAACACACACCTGAACCCAGTCTTCTCCATTAACACACACCTGAACCCAGTCTTCTCCATTAACACACACCTGAACCCAGTCTTCTCCATTAACACACACCTGAACCCAGTCTTTTCCATAACACACACCTGAACCCAGTCTTCTCCATTAACACACACCTGAACCCAGTCTTCTCCATTAACACACACCTGAACCCAGTCTTCTCACATTAACACACACCTGAACCCAGTCTTCTCCATGAACACACACTGAACCCAGTCTTCTCCATGAACACCACACCTGAACCACCGATAACACCCTGAACCCAGTCTTCCATAAACACACCTGAACCCAGTCTTCTCCATTAACACACACCTGAACCCAGTCTTCTCCATGAACACACACCTGAACCCAGTCTTCTCCATGAACACACACCTGAACCCAGTCTTCTCCATGAACACACACCTGAACCCAGTCTTCTCCATGAACACACACCTGAACCCAGTCTTCTCCATGAACACACCTGAACCCAGTCTTCTCCATGAACACACACCTGAACCCAGTCTTCTCCCATGAACACACACACCTGAACCCAGTCTTCTCCATGAACACACACCTGAACCCAGTCTTCTCCATTGAACACACACCTGAACCAGTTTTCCTTAACACACACCTGACCATCTTCTCCATAACCACACACTGAACCCAGTCTTCTCCATTAACACACACCTGAACCCAGTCTTCTCCATTAACACACACCTGACCCAGTCTTCTCCATTAACACACACCTGAACCAGTCTTCTCCATTAACACACACCCTGAACCCAGTCTTCTCCATTAACACACACCTGAACCCAGTCTTCTCCATTAACACACACCTGAACCCCAGTCTTCTCCATTAACAACACACCTGAACCCGTCTTCTCCATTAACACACACCTGAACCCAGTCTTCTCCATTAACACACACCTGAACCCAGTCTTCTCCATGAACACACACCTGAACCCAGTCTTCTCATGAACACACACCTGAACCCAGTCTTCTCCATTAACACAACACCTGAACCCAGTCTTCTCCATTAACACACCTGACCCAGTCTTCTCCATTAACACACACCTGAACCCAGTCTTCTCATTAACACACACCTGAACCCAGTCTTCTCCATTAACACACACCTGAACCCCAGTGCTTCTCCATTAAACTACACCTGAACCCAGTCTTCTCCATTAACAACACCCTGAACCCAGTCCTTCTCCATTAACACACACCTGACCCGTCTTCTCCATTAACACACACCTTTTTTTTTGTATTTATACTATATAGCTCAGGGGGGCAATTTTGATGGGGATGGGGGCCATAAAATATGTCATTTCTAATTTCATGCAATTCTACCCATTTTGCCATCAGCCAGAGATAAAAACTTTGGGATTTTTAAAAACTATTTTCATGCAATTCTACACATGTTCATTATGTAGAGAGCCGCAGGCCGGCAGTTGCCAGATATAGCTCATTCAACTACCTTCTCTCTCTCTCTCTCTCCTCCTGTCTCTCTCTCCTCCTCCTCCTGTCACCCTCCTCCTCCTCCTGTCGCCCTCCTCCTCCTCTTCCTCCTGTCGCTCTCCTCCTCCTCCTTCTCCTGTCTCTCTCCTCCTCCTCCTCCTCCTCCTCCTGTCGCCCTCCTCCTCCTCTTCCTCTGTCTCTCTCTCTCCTCCTCCTCCTCCTCCTGTCACCCTCCTCCTCCTCTTCCTCCTGTCGCTCTCCTCCTCCTCCTTCTCCTGTCTCTCTTCTCCTCCTCCTGTCTCTCTCTTCCTCTTCCTCCTCCTCCTCCTCTCTCCTCCTCTCCTCTTTCACCTGAACAGGTGAACATAGTAAACATTGGTACCGTAGCAACAGAGATCCAGTCAGCTCTGGCCGACAACATCTTAGCAACGAGTGTCACGGCAACATTACTAGCAGCTGACGGCATGTGAGTATGACTTCTTTCAGGGTGAAGTATCACACAGATACACACCTTGTCTGGATTTCACTCACTAACTCAATGCTCTCAAGTCAGCCACGAAAACAGTTGTCATCCTTCTCTCTGTCCCCCCCAGGTATTTTCCCTATGAGGAGTGTAACCACCGCCTAGTAAGGGAGATAGGTAACGTAACAGAAGGCGTAGAGATCACCTTTCAGTTCGCCTGCAAGCCTGATAGCACGGAGAGTGAGTGAACACACACACACACACACACACACACACACACACACCTAGATTCACACACGAACACACACACACACCTAGATTCACACGAACACACCACACACACACACCTAGATTCACACACGAACACACACACACACCTAGATTCACACGAACACACACACACACACACCTAGATTCACACTCAAACACACACATGCACTGATGCACGCACGCACAAACACACACACACACAAACACAATCACACACACACACACACACACGAACACGCATACCCTCTCCCAGGATTCCCTAAGGGGTCACTTTATGTGTGTTTGTGTGAGTGTGTGTGGATGTGTGTGTGCATGTTGTGTGTGTGTGGTTTGGGTGTGCATGGTGTGTGTGTGTGTGTGTGGGTTCTTGTGTGTGCATGCGTGTGTGTGGGTGTGTGTTGTGCGTGTGTGGGTGTGCATGTGTGTGTGTGTGTGTTGTGTGTGTGTGTGTGTGGTGTGTGTGTGTGTTGTGTGTGTGTGTGGTGCGTGTGTGTGTGCGTGTGTGTGGCAATGAGTGTGTTGTGTGTGTGTGTGCGTGTGTGTGCATGCGTGTGTGTGTGTGTGCATGTGTTGTGCATGAGTGTGTATGTGTGTGTGTGCGTGTGTGTGCATGTTGTGTGTGTGTGTGTGTGCGTGTGCATGCGTGGTGGCGTGTGCATGCGTGTGTGTGCATGCGTATGTGTGTGTGGTGTGTGTGTGTGCGTGTGTGTGCATGCGTATGTGTGTGTGTGTTGTGTGTGTGTGTGTGTGTGTGTGTGTGTCTGTGTGTGTGTGCATGCGTGTGTGTGTGTGTGTGTGTGTGTGTCTGTGTGTGTGTGTCTGTGTGTGTGTGCATGCGTGTGTGTGTGTGTGTGTTGTACAGGTTTCATGCGTAGAGACAGACTACCGTTCCAGCTACAGTTGTCCTTCATCACCAGAGATCAACAGAAAGTAACACGCATCATCACCGAACAGAGACGGGTTACTACCAGCAGGTGAAACACACAGACACACACACACACACACACACACACAACACACACAGACAGACAGACATGCACACACACACACACACACACACACACACACACACAGACACACACACACACACAGACACACAGACACACACACACAGACAGACAGACAGACAGACAGACAGACAGACAGACAGACAGACAGACAGACAGACAGACACACACACACACACACACACACACACACACACACACACCGACAGACATGCACACACACACACCACACCGCGCACACACGCGCACACACGCGCACACACACACACACACACACGCCATGCACACACACACAGACACACACACACCAACACACACACACACACACACACACACACACAGACAGACAGACAGACAGACAGACATGCACACACACGCACACATGCGCTACACACACGCATGCGCACACACCACAACACACACACAGCCATGCACACACACGCACACACACGCACACATACTAAAGCACCCCCACCCCCCCCCCCCCATCGCTCTCTCCCCCTGTCCCCTTCTCTCTGTCTCTCTAGCTGGCTGTGGGCAGGCAGTCTGAACATGTCAGTGTTAGGGGTCCACTGTGCCCAGCTGGTTGCCAGGTTAACTATGAAGGGAAGAGTCCACGAGGCACAGAGACAACTCAGAGCACAGCAAGACCTGCTCAAAGACATCAGGTAGGGGTGTGTGTGTGTGTGTGTGTGTGTGTGTGTGTGTGTGTGTGTGTGTGTTAACCCTATAACCTCTTGTCTCCAGTGAGCAGAGGCCCAACCCAAAGGAGGAGAGCATCTATGGAAACTGGATCAATACCATGACAACCATCTGTGATGATCTCACCACAGACTCCCAGGTAGTCTATCTATCTATCTATCTATCTATCTATCTATCTATCTATCTATCTATCTATCTATCTATCATATCTATCTATCTATCTATCTATCTATCTGTCTGTCTGTCTGTCTGTCTGTCTGTCTGTCTGTCTGTCTGTCTGTCTGTCTGTCTGTCTGTCTGTCTGTCGTCTAAAGGCCCAGTGCAGTCAAAAACCGTGATTTTCCTGTGTTTTATATATATTTCCACACTATGAGGTTGGAATAATACTTTGAAATTGTGAAAAATATGATAATGCCCCTTTAGTGTAAGAGCTGTTTGAAAAGAACGCCTGAAATTTCAGCCTGTTTTGTTGGGATGCAGTTTTGGTCTGCCTGGTGACATCACCACGCGGTAAATTAGTTAAATCAAATCAATCAATTGTATTGGTCACATACACATATTTAGCAGATGTTATTGCGGGTGTAGCGAAATGCTTGTGTTCCCAGCTCCAACAGTGCAGTAGTATCTAACAATTCACAACAATCCACACAAATCTAAAAGTAAAAGAATGGAATTAAGAAATATAGAAATATTAGGACGAGCAATGTCGGAGTGGCATTGACTAAAATACAGTAGAATAGAATACAATATATAAATATGAAATGAGTAAAGCAGTATGTAAACATTATTAAAGTGACTAGTGTTCCATTATTAAAGTGACCAATGATTCCATGTCTATGTATACAGGGCAGCAGCCTCTAAGGTGTAGGGTTGAGTAACTGGGTGGTAGCCAGCTATTGATGGCTATTTAACAGTCTGATGGCCTTGAGATAGAAGATGTTTTTCATTCTCTCGGTCCCAGCTTTGATGTACCTGTACTGACCCCGCCTTCTGGATGATAGCGGGGTGAACAGGCAGTGGCTCGGGTGGTTGATGTCCTTGATGATCTTTTTGGCCTTCCTGTGACATCAGGTGCTGTAGGTGTCCTGGAGGGCAGGCAGTTTGCCCCCGGTGATGCGTTGGGCAGACCGCACCACCCTCTGGAGAGCCCTGCGGTTGCGGGCGGTGCAGTTGCCATACCATGCGGTGATACAGCCCGACAGGATGCTTTCAATTGTGCATCTGTAAAAGTTTGTGAGGGTCTTAGGGGCCAAGCCACATTTCTTCAGCCTCCTGAGGTTGAAGAGGTGCTCTTGCGCCTTCTTCACCACACTGTCTGTCTGGGTGGATGATTTGAGGAAGTCCAGGACCCAGTTGCACAGGGCGGGGTTCAGACCCAGGGCCTCGAGCTTAATGATGAGCTTGGAGGGTACTATGGTGTTGAACGCTGAGCTATAGTCAATGAACAGCATTCTTACATAGGTATTCCTCTTGTCCAGATGGGATAGGGCAGTGTGCAGTGCGATGGCGATTGCTTCGTCTGTGGATGTATTGGGGCGGTGTGCAAATTGAAGTGGGTCTAGGGTGTCAGGTAAGGTGGAGTGTCACGATCGTCGTAGGAGTGAGTAGACCAATGCGCAGCGTGTTGAGCGAACATCATACTTTATTATATTAAAGCACAAAAACCAAAACAATAAACGACTCGTGAAGTCCACGGTGACAAAGACCGACAAGGAACAAAAACCCACAAACACAAAGTGAAACACAGACAGTTAAATATGGCTCCCAATCAGAGACAACCAGCACACAGCTGACACTCGTTGCCTCTGATTGGGAGTCACTCAGTTAAACATAGAAATACACAACCTAGAACACCCAACAAAGAAACAGAACACATAGAATGAACACACCCTGGCTCAACATAATGAGTCCCAGAGCCAGGGTGTGACAGTACCCCCCCCCCTAAAGGCGCGGACTGCGACCGCGCCTCAACAAAACCCAAACAGGGAAGGGCTGGGTGGGCATTCCTCCTCGGAGGCGGCTCCGGCTCCGGGCTTGACCACCACCCTTCCATAATTCCCCCGTAGCGCCCCTGGTCCGGTCTGACCCCGCTGGCTGGATCTGGACTGGACATCGACGGAGCGGATTGCTTACGCTCCGTTGTGGAGCAGCTGACCGGTACCTGATCAGGCACCGGACTGACGACGCGCACCCCTGGCTTGGCGCGTGAGGCAGGAACGGACCGGACCTGGCTGACGATGCGCCCCCCTGGCTTGGTGCGTGGAGCAGCAACGGACCAGACCGGGCTGACGATACGCACCCCTGGCTTGGTGCGTGTAGCCGGAAGGGGCCTCACCGGACTGACGACTCGCACCCTTGGCTTGGTGCGTGGAGCAGCGACGGGCCGGACCTGGCTGACGACTCGCACCCCGGGCTTGGTGCGAGTAGCAGGAACGGGCTGAACCAGGCTGACGACTCGCACCCCTGACTTGGTGCGAGTGGCAGGAACAGGCTGGACCAGGCTGACGACTCGCACCCCTGGCTTGGTGCGAGTGGCAGGAACGGGCTGGACCAGGCTGACGACGCACACCATAGGCTTGGTGCGTGGAGCAGGGACAGGCCGGGCTGGGCTGGCGACGCACACCGTAGGCTTGGTGCGTGGAGCAGGGACAGGCCGGGCTGGGCTGGCGACGCACACCGTAGGCTTGGTGCGTGGAGCAGGAACAGGCCGGGCTGGGCTGTCGACGCACACCGTAGGCTTGGTGCGTGGAGCAGGAACAGACCGGGCAGGGCTGGCGACGCACACCGTAGGCTTGGTGCGTGGAGCAGGAACAGGCCGGGCAGGGCTGGCGACGCACACCGTAGGCTTGGTGCGTGGAGCAGAAAACAGGCCGGGCAGGGCTGGCGACGCACAACGTTAGGCTTGGTGCGTGGAGCAGGAACAGGCCGGGCTGGGCTGGCGACGCACACCGTAGGCTTGGTGCGTGGAGCAGGGACAGGCTGGGCTGGGCTGGCGACGCACACCGTAGGCTTGGTGCGTGGAGCAGGGACAGGCCGGACTGGGCTGGCGACGCACACCGTAGGCTTGGTGCGTGGAGCAGGAACAGGCCGGACTGGGCTATGGAGACGGATAGGAGACCTGGAGTGAAGAGCTGCCACAACCCATCCTGGCTGAATGCCTACCTTCACACACTCTGTGTGAGGCATCAGCACAGGACGTACAGGGCTGTGTACCCGTACTGGCATAACAGCACGTGACACTGGCGCAGGATATCCGGGACAGAGGAGAGGCACTGGAGGCCACGAGCGCTGAGCCGGCACACTCCGTCCTGGCTGCATGCCCACCTTCGCACAACACGTGCGGGGTGCTCGCACAGGACGTACCGGACTATGCCGGACCACTCGTGGCACAGTGCGCAGCTCCGCATACCGCGGAACCTGCCCAGTCTCATGCTGCCATGCCTGAGTACGGGGAGTTGGCTCTGCTCTCCATCCAGGCTCTGCCAACCTGCCTTCTGGCCCCCAAAACCCGGTGGCCTCCTCTCCTAATCTCCCAATTCGCCCTGTGGCAGCCTCCTGCTGCCCAGTCGCCCATGCCGTGTGCCCCCCCTAAAAATTTATTGGGGGTGCCTCTCGTCCTTCCGACGATGGCACTGCTGACGCCGCTGCTCCTCTCTCGCCAGGGCCTTAATCCTACCCCAAGGTCCCTTGCCCCCGAGCATGTCCTCCCAGGACCACGATTTGCCACCTGGGCCATCGCCAGCCTCTCCATCTCCTTTCCTGGCGCTTCCTCCCATGACCAGGCTGCCTGCTCCTGGACACGCTGCTTGGTCCTTTTACGGTGGGTTTTTCTGTCACGATCGTCGTAGGAGTGAGTAGACCAATGCGCAGCGTGTTGAGCGAACATCATACTTTATTATATTAAAGCACAAAAACCAAAACAATAAACGACTCGTGAAGTCCACGGTGACAAAGACCGACAAGGAACAAAAACCCACAAACACAAAGTGAAACACAGACAGTTAAATATGGCTCCCAATCAGAGACAACCAGCACACAGCTGACACTCGTTGCCTCTGATTGGGAGTCACTCAGTTAAACATAGAAATACACAACCTAGAACACCCAACAAAGAAACAGAACACATAGAATGAACACACCCTGGCTCAACATAATGAGTCCCAGAGCCAGGGTGTGACATGGAGGCGATATGATCCTTGTGGAACTGACAGCGTTTTAACTACGTTACAGATATGAAACAAACAGACAATCATAATATCAGTAAAAAAAATATCACATTCCCAGTTTATGCTACAAAACCAACTTTAAAAAAATTGGTTCTATTTGACTCAACATTCAATGACGTACAGTAAGACGTTGTTGGCAGAATAGATTGATGCAGTTCAATGCATGATTAATATAATTCACCAATCCATTTCTTGGTAGTCCAAAAAATATTGCTATCAGGTTGTAAATCACCGCTGGACTGGTACATTGTTTGCTGCCTCCATTCGGGATGCACTGTTTCAGTTTCAATGACTCAATATTCTGGGCAAAAACGGACGAATGTACTAAGGCTGGGAATGTCAATACAATCAAACTAGCAAGGGCAATGATCAGTCAGTCATAACGTGGCTAATAGGCTAGCATATCTATTTATGTAAGAACCTAAAAACACAGAGCCTAACGTTGACTAGATAGCTAGCTAGCTAGCTGCTAGGAGGATGTCATGTCATGCCATTGGAGGAGGTGAGTGACTTTTTCCCCTCATATGGTTTTCGGTGGCTATACACAGCTAGAGATGCAGGTGTCATTTGGTCAGCTAGCGAGAACTTGAATGACTGTTATTTAGTTAGCATATCTATAGCGTTTGCAAATTCACTCTGGCTATCTACTCCGATTTCAGAGCACTCTCGTCTGAGTGTGCCAGAGTGCAGAATAATTGATGAATTTATGAACGCGCTAGATATAACCGGTGTCAGTAAACGTAGACAAAAAAAGTAATAGTTAGTCAAGAATGTTCAGCCTAACCAGCTCTGCTACGGCGAGTAAAATGGTCAAGGTGAGGTGTTCTCTCATTTGTGTCTGGAAGTAGCTAGCTAGCAAGCTAGTCAACTTTAGCCAGTTAGCTTGGGTTCTTGGTTGGGACCAGCGTGCATTGGCAGGCAAGCTGCAAAAGGACGGGCAGGCTACAATTCCTCATCGTTTATCAGTGCAATTTTGACGGCCAACTAACTGGAAAAAAGATTGAGAGGGTTTATCTAATGTTCCTTCGTTAGATTTGAGGTCATCTTGCTCTGGCTAGCATTAGTTGTTGATCTTGTTGTTGTTGATGTGCATAACTGAGAGAGAGAGAGCCTACCTACAGTGGGGGAAAAAAGTATTTAGTCAGCCACCAATTGTGCAAGTTCTCCCACTTAAAAAGATGAGAGAGGCCTGTAATTTTCATCATAGGTACACGTCAACTATGACAGACAAATTGAGAAAAAAATATCCAGAAAATCACATTGTAGGATTTTTAATGAATTTATTTGCAAATTATGGTGGAAAATAACTATTTGGTCACCTACAAACAAGCAAGATTTCTGGCTCTCACAAACCTGTTACTTATTATTTAAGAGGCTCCTCTGTCCTCCACTCGTTACCTGTATTAATGGGCACCTGTTTGAACTTGTTATCAGTATAAAAGACACCTGTCCACAACCTCAAATAGTCATACTCCAAACTCCACTATGGCCAAGACCAAAGAGCTGTCAAAGGACACCAGAAACAAAATTTTAGACCTGCACCAGGCTGGGAAGACTGAATCTGCAATAGGTAAGCAGCTTGGTTTGAAGAAATCAACTGTGGGAGCAATTATTAGGAAATGGAAGACATACAAGACCACTGATATGCTCCCTAGATCTGGGGCTCCACGCAAGATCTCACCCCGTGGGGTCAAAATGATCACAAGAACGGTGAGCAAAAATCCCAGAACCACACGGGGGGACCTAGTGAATGACCTGCAGAGAGCTGGGACCAAAGTAACAAAGCCTACCATCAGTAACACACTAAGCCGCCAGGGACTCAAATCCTGCAGTGACAGATGTGTCCCCCTGCTTAAGCCAGTACATGTCCAGGCCCGTCTGAAGTTTGCTAGAGTGCATTTGGATGATCCAGAAGAGGATTGGGAGAATGTCATATGGTCAGATGAAACCAAAATATAACTTTTTGGTAAAAACTCAACTCTTCGTGTTTGGAGGACAAATAATGCTGAGTTGCATCCAAAGAACACCATACCTACTGTGAAGCATGGGGGTGGAAACATCATGCTTTGGGGCTGTTTTTAAGCAAAGGGACCAGGACGACTGATCCGTGTAAAGGAAAAGAATGAATGGGGCCATGTATCGTGAGATTTTGAGTGAAAAACCTCCTTCCATCAGCAAGGACATTGAAGATGAAACTTGGCTGGGTCTTTCAGCATGACAATGATCCCAAACACACCGCCCGGGCAACGAAGGAGTGGCTTCGTAAGAAGCATTTCAAGGTCCTGGAGTGGCCTAGCCAGTCTCCAGATCTCAACCCCATAGAAAATATTTGGAGGGAGTTGAAAGCCCCAAAACATCACTGCTCTAGAGGAGGTCTGCATGGAGGAATGGGCCAAAATACCAGCAACAGTGTGTGAAAACCTTGTGAAGAATTACAGAAAACGTTTGACCTGTGTCATTGCCAACAAAGGGTATATAACAAAGTATTGAGAAACTTTTGTTTTTGACCAAATACTTATTCTCCACCAAAATCTACAATGTGATTTTCTGGATTTTTTTTTCTCATTTTGTCTGTCATAGTTGACGTGTACCTATGATGAAAATTACAGGCATCTCTCATCTTTTTAAGTGGGAGAACTTGCACAATTGGTGGCTGACTAAATACTTTTTTTCCCCACTGTATTCATGGTTGTTTGATCAATAGTACTCTAAAGTTCCCAAATATAAGAGGACTCCCGTGGTATTTACATATTTGCAGAAATCCATTCAGGTGTATTTCGTGGCTTTTGGCGAATGCGTTCTAATGATCTAAAGTCTCGCTGTTGCTACTGCCTGTAAACACACAGTCCAGTTCAACGTGAATGATGGCAGGCCCGTCACCGTTCTGCGTCCTTGGACAAGACAAATGTTTTTATTAGGTTTTATTCACTGCAGTGTCTATGAATTGTCCAGATGCATGGTGCTTTCCCACTCTATATTGCTATAGAATTTTCTCATATGCCTTAGAATGTTTGGGAATTACATATACTAAGAATTTCAGAAAACGTGAAAATGACCATATCTAAGTGCTCGCTAGTTAGATTTTGTATTTTTTTTTATTCACATTCTTCCTGGGGTTGTATATGAACAGATCTTCATAAGATTTAATGTTGCTAAAATGCTGTCAGTTCCACTTTAATAGACCAATAAGAATAAGAGTTCCAAACCTCTCTGCCAATAACAGCTAGTTTTCAGTTTCCCCCTCCCCACTCAGACCACACCCAGACAGTCCTCGCAAAATTCTAGCTTGATAAATTGCTGTTTGCTAAGAAGCTATTTTTGGTTTATTTTTTACAATTGTAATTTAAAAACACAGTACCCAGAAATTATATTGAGATAAAAAAAAGGCTACATTGGACCTTCCATCGATCAAACAACCAATCAGTCAACCAACCAATCAATCATAAACTCAATAAACTTGAAATACACCCTAGCACACCCACAAAAGACAGAACACATATAATGACACACCCTGGCTCAACCTAATGATTCCCGAGTGCCATGGTGTGGCATGGAGGCGATAATGATCCTGTGAACGACAGCGTTTGAAAACTACGTTACAGATATGAAAGAAAACAAACAGACCATCATAATATCATAAAAACAATATACATTCCCATTTATTCTACAAAAACCACTTAAAAAAAATTGGTTCTATTTGACTCACACATTTCACTGACTTAACAGTAAGACGTTGTTGGCATAATAGATTGATGCCGTTCACTGCATATTTATATAATTCACTACTTCACCAATCCCTTTCTTGGTAGTAAGACCAAAAATAATTGCTATCGAGTATGTAATCAACCGCTGGACTAGGTACATTGTTTTAGCTGCCGTCCATTCGGGATGCGCCACTTTTCAGTTTCAATGACTCAATAATTCTGGCAAAAACGGACGAATTGATAACTAAGGCTGGGAATGTCAATACAATCACACTAGCAAAGGGCAATGATCACAAGTCATCATACCGGGCTAATAGGCTACATTCTATTTATGTAGGAAGCTAAAACACAGAGCCTAACGTGACTAAGATAGTCTAGCTAGCTAGCTAGCTCGCTGCTAGGAAGAATGTCCTGTATTGCCTTGGAGGAGGTGAGAATGACTTTTTTCCCTCATGTGGGTTTTCGGTGGCTATCACCCGAGATCGGTGTCATTTGGTCCAGCTATCGATAACTTGAATGACGTTATTAGTTTAATCATATCTATATGCTTTTGCCAACTCAACTCTGGCTATCTACTAAATATGACTCTTACTCCGATTTCAGATCCTCTCGTCTGAGTGTGCCAAGTGCAGATATTGATGAATTTATGAAACGCGCTAGATATGAAACCGGTGTCCGTACACGTAGACAAAAAAAGTAATAGTTAGTCAAGAATTTCAGCTAACCCACTCTCTACGGCGAGTAAAATGGTCAGGTGGGTTTCTCAGTATCATTGGTGTTCTGGAAGTAGCTAGCTACAATCTAGTCAACTTTATACCAGTTTTCGCTTGGGTTCTTGGTTGGGACCAGCGTGCCTTGGCATGGGCAAAAGCTGTCAAAAGGACATGGCATGCTAACAATCCTCATCGTTTAAACCGATCATGCAATTTTGAACGCCAACTAAGCTGAAAAAGATTGAGAGTGTTTATCTAATTTCCTTCGTAGATTGAGCATCTTGAGCTCGTGGCTAGCATTAGTAAATTTTGATCTTGTATGTTGTATGATGTGCATACCGAGAAAAGAGAAGAGAGCCTACCTACGTTGAATGGAAAAATTATTTAGTCATCACCAATTGTGGCAAGTTCTCCCACTTAAAAGATGAGAGAGGCCTTAATTTTCCAAATCATAGGATACACGTCACGATGACATACAAATTGAGACAAAACTATCATAAAATCACTTGTATGATTTTTAAATGAATTTAATTTGTCAAATTATGGTGGAAAATCACTATTTGTCCCCTACACCAACAAGATTCTGCTCTCACACACCATGTTTACTTATTAAATAATTAAGAGCTAGCCTAACTGTCCTCCACTCGTTTACCACCACCTGTATTAATGGACTGTTTGAACTTGTTATCAGAATAAAGACACCTGTCACAACCTCAAATAGATCATAACTCCAAACTCCACTATGGCCATACCAAAGAGCTGTCAAAGGACACCAGAACAACATTTTAGACGGCCACGCATGTGGGAAGACCTGAATCGCAATAGGTAAAGCTCTGGGTTGACGAAAAGATCAACTGTGGGAGCAATTATTAGGAAATGGGAAGACATACAAAGACCACTGATATGCTCCCTAGATCTCAGGGGCTCCACGCAAGATCATCACCCCTCACCCCGTGGGGTCCAAATATCACAGAACGTGAGCAAATCCAGAACCACCGGGGGGACCTAGTGAATACCTGCATAGAGCTGGGACCAAAGTAACACAAGCCTAACCATCTAAACACACTATCGACGCGCCAGGGACTTCAAATCCTGCGTGACAGATGTGTCCCCTGCTTTAGCCAGTACAATGGTCAGGCCGTCTGAAGTTTGCTAAGTGCATTTGGATGATCCAGAAGAGGATTTGTGAGAATGTCCTATGGTCAGATAAACACCATCTACCTTTTTGGTACCAACTCACCCTCTTCGTGTTTGGAGGACAACATAATGCTGAAGTTGCAGAATCAAGACACCATCCAATACGTGAGCATGGGGGTTGAACATCATGCTTTGTGGCTGTTTTTAAGAAAGGGACCAGAAACGACTGATCCGTGTGAAGGAAACAGAATGAATGGTCCATGTATCGTGCGTTTTGAGTGAAAACCTCTTCCACAACATCGCAAGGACATTAGATGAAACTTGGGCTGGGTCCTTTCACAGCATGACATGATCACCAAACACCCACACAACCACCCCCCGGCAACGAATGAGTGGCTTCGTACGAAGCATTTCAAGGTCCTGAGTGGGCCTAGCCAGTCCTCCAGATCTCAACCCCATAGAAAAATATTTGGAGGGGAGTTGAAGCCCCAAAACATCACTGCTCTAGAGGAGGCTGCTGGAGGAATGGGCCAAATATCCCATCAACAGTGTGGGAAAACTTGTGAAATACGAAAACGTTTGTACTGTGGCATTGCTAACAAAGGGTATTAAAAAGTATTGAGAAAACTTTTGTTTTTGACCAAACGTATTCGCCAACCAAAATCTACATGTGATTTTTCCTGGATTATTTTTTCTCATTATTGTCTGTCATAGTTGACGTGTACCTTGATGAAATTAACAGGCCTCTCTCATCTTTTTTAAGTGGGAGAACTTGCAGCAATTGGTGGCTAGACTAATACTTTTTTTCCCCGCCTGTATTCAATGGTTGTTTGATCAATATTAACACTCTAAAGTTCCCAAATATAAGAGGACTCCCGTGGTAATTATACATATTGCAGAAATCCATTCAGGTGTATTTCGTGCTTTTGGCGAATGCACGTTCTAATGATACTAAAGTCTCGCTGTTCTACTGCTGTAAACACACCGTCCAGTTTTCAAACGTGAAAAATGATGGCAGGCCTCTCCCGTCTGCTGCCTTGGACAAGACAAATGCAGTGGGTTTTTATTAGGTTTTATTCCTGCAGTGTCCTATGAATTGTCAGATGAATGGTGCTTTCGCCATTTCCCACGCGATATTAGTATAGAATTTTCTCATATGCCTTATAATGTTTTGGTAATTATATACTAAGAATTTCGAAAACGTGAAAATGTACCATATCTAGTGCTCGCTAGTTCGATTTTGTATTTTTTTTTCTTCACATTCTCCTGGGTTTGTATATGAAAGATCTCATAAGATTTAATGTTGCTACAATGCGGTCGTTTCCACTTTAATAGGACCAATAAGAATAAGAGTTCAAACCTTCTGCCAATAACAGCTATTTTCATTTTTCCTCCACCCATCCCCACTCAGACCACACCCAGACAGTCCTTCGCAAAATTCGACTTGAATAAATTGCTGATTTGTAGGAAGCTATTTTTGTTTATTTTTTTACAATTGTAATTAAAAACACAGTACCCCCCAGAAATTATAATTGAGAATAACAAAAAGCTACATTGGACCTTCCATCGATCAAACAACCAATCCGGGTCCAACCAACATCAATCAATTAAAGAGCACTCACTCGAAAACTCTGTCTATCTCTCTCTCCTCTTGCTCTTTCACGAATTATAGAACTTCCTAAGGATAAAGGATTTTTTCAAAGAGAGATTAAAAGAAAAGAGAGACATATTGGAGAGGAGAGAAGGAGAGGAGATTCATCGGATATTAGTCGTTACTGAAGAGATGAGCGTCGAGTAGATGCTCGGAGAGGAGAGGGGCTTGGAATGGGTCATGGGAGGGAGAGAGTAGATGCGAGTGAGGGGCTGACTGAATTTTGCAGGAGACGAGGACTGATAAGGTGGGTGAAAAGGCATGAGGACGCGATATATAGAGGGCTTGATAATATAATAGCACGAAGAAAATGAACGAAGTAGAATTGTACAAGAGAAAGCGAGAAGTGCAGAGATATCCTCAGTAATGGTCACTGTGCTGAATATATGCTTGTGAATTTGTTCGTCATCGAAAAGTTGCCGAATTCCTGGACGAGAACTGCCCATGCGACGAGAATCAACGAGGAGAAACATCTCTTTCACCTCCCGGTAGCGAGAGCGAATACCCAAGGACCATACAGGCCTCTGAGATCCCATGAACATATGTCTATTCCACACACACCCTCAAACACGACACCGGCGCCATCCTTCTGTTTGCTGGGCCCAGGCCCTCTCGAGAGGCAGCAACGTGGTGTAAGAAACCAAATGAAGAGAGCCAGCAGTGATGTGCCAGAGTCGAAGGAAACAACTGACATGTTGGCTCTGTGAGTGAACTCGGACCACAGGCAGTCACAGGTTGTCAAACGTTTACAGCATCAACATTGGGTACAAAAACTAAGTCCGCACTGGTTTAGTCAGACTGGTCCAAAGACTGGAAATCAGACAGAAGATCACGAATAACTCCTGACAATTACTACACATAAATGTTATTAAATATGTCTCGTATAATTTTTTGTTGTACTAGAAAGTAGACATATACCAATATATGGTATAAGTGGACTGACTGTGGTACTAAGGGGGTTATGGGAGACTCTTAATCAAGTGAGTACATCGAAGGGGGGGGATGGGGGGGAGCGGCCTATTTGACTAAGAGGACAGGGGGGAGTGTGACTTTTCTTTAAAAACCTACTTGTCTCGCTCCTTATACCTCTCATTACACGCAAACAACTGTCTCGTACTGTCAACTGGTATTTAAGAGGTGTGCAGCGGGGGGGTTTCTTGTGGGTTTTTGGCTGTAATATCTTCATCGTTCTTGTCTCTTTGAAAAGGTTTGGGGTAGCCCCGGTATATTTGTCCTGTTATATGGGGGGTTAAGAACTCCACACCTTCTTTTGCTTAGTAGTTTTGATGTGTTTACGTTGGAGTGTATCTTCATAGTGAGCACACATGTGTTAGAGTCGGGATCTCTATGTAGTTGGTTTGCATTGGGGAGCTCAGGGTGAGCATCTCTAGTGAAATGAATAATAGTCACGGAAGCAAACGGCGGGACACGAAAACAACGCACAGCAACGAAACGACACGGGTATCTCGCAATAGTATCTCAGATAGGGGGGAGTGAGGCGTAAAGAGGGTATGTGTAAAACTAGCAGGGGGAAGAAGTAGAAGGGGTGGCAGAAAGGTTTTAACGGGAACTGAGCTTGAAGCGTAGTGACTGGCCGTGAGAGTGAGTAAAACATGCTCATGACGCGGTGACACAAAAAAGTGGTGAACCAATGACAAAACGGTGTGTCTGCTAAAGGGTCATTAGGAGTTTTGGAAGACCAATGAGGTTGTAGGCGAATAAAATGATTAGGAATGTGAGGGGAGTAAGAGATGCTCTGAGGGGGGGGAAAAAAGGGGTGGTAATAGAGTTAAAGCTGGGGGGTGGTGATAGGGTGTGGGACTTGCCGGGAGGATCTTCAAGGCGATAGACGGCAAAGGGGCGAGGTCTGCGGTGAATTACGGGGTTAGGCGAAAAAAAGATATAACTATGTTTTATTTTATTTTTTGGGTGGGGGGGTAGGGAAGGGGGGGGGTGGGGTAACTGCATAACTTACTATTGGCAAAGATCGATTGTAAATTCAATCAATGGAAATTGTCTGGAACCATCAACTGTCCAATCCGGCGGCCTGTATTATAGTCTCGATCGATATAGTAATACAGTGAATGGAAAACAACAAAGTGATTTGACATCCCCTGGGGCTGATAAATTTGATACGATTTGCCACTGACAAAGAACTTATCAGTCTATAAAGTTTAACTGGATAGGGTTTTATGTGAACAGTGAGAGACAGAATAACAACAAAATCCAGAAAACGCATGTCAAAAATGTTATGAATTGATTTGCATTTTAATGAGGGAAAATAAGTATTTGACCCCCTCTCATCAGAAAGATTTCTGTCTCCCAGGTGTCTTTTATACAGGTAACGAGCTGAGATTAGGAGCACACTCTTAAAGGGAGTGCTCCTAATCTCAGCTTGTTACCTGTATAAAAGACACCTGTCCACAGAAGCAATCAATCAATCAGATTCCAAACTCTCCACCATGCCAAGACCAAAGAGCTCTCCAAGGATGCCAGGGACGAAGATTGTAGATCTACACCAGGCTGGAATGGGGCTACAAGACCATCACCAAGCAGCTTGGTGAGAAGGTGACAACAGTTGGTGCAATTATTCGCAAATGGAAGAAAAACAAAAGAACTGTCAATCTCCCTCGGCCTGGGGCTCCACGCAAGATCTCACCTCGTGGAGTTGCAATGATCATGAGAACTGTGAGGAATCAGCCCAGAACTACACGGGAGGATCTTGTCAATGATCTCAAGGCAGCTGGGACCATAGTCACCAAGAAAACAATTGGTAACACACTGTGAAGGACTGAAATCCTACAGCGCCCGCAAGGTCTCCCTGCTCAAGAAAGCACATATACATGCCCGTCTGAAGTTTGCCAATGAACATCTGAATGATTCAGAGGAGAACTGGGTGAAAGTGTTGTGGTCAGATGAGACCAAAATGGAGCTCTTTGGCATCAACTCAACTCGCCGTGTTTGGAGGAGGAGGAATGCTGACCCCAAGAACACCATCCCCACCGTCAAACATGGAGGTGGAAACATTATGCTTTGGGGGTGTTTTTCTGCTAAGGGGACAGGACAACTTCACCGCATCAAAGGGACGATGGACGGGGCCATGTACCGTCAAATCTTGGGTGAGAAACCTCCTTCCCTCAGCCAGGGGCATTGAAAATGGGTCGTGGATGGGTATTCCAGCATGACAATGACCCAAAACACACGGCCAAGGCAACAAAGGAGTGGCTCAAGAAGAAGCACATTAAGGTCCTGGAGTGGCCAAGCCAGTCTCCAGACCTTAATCCCATAGAAAATCTGTGGAGGGAGCTGAAGGTTCGAATTGCCAAACGTCAGCCTCGAAACCTTAATGACTTGGAGATCTGCAAAGAGGAGTGGGACAAAATCCCTCCTGAGATGTGTGCAAACCTGGTGGCCAACTACAAGAAACGTCTGACCTCTGTGATTGCCAACAAGGGTTTTGCCACCAAGTACTAAGTCATGTTTTGCAGAGGGGTCAAATACTTATTTCCCTCATTAAAATGCAAATCACTTCATAACATTTTTGACATGCGTTTTTCAGGATTTTTTTTGTTGTTATTCTGTCTCTCACTGTTCAAATAAACCTACCATTAAAATTATAGACGGATCATTTCTTTGTCAGTGGGCAAACGTACAAAATCAGCAGGGGATCAAATACTTTTTTCCCTCACTGTATATACACACACATATATACATACATATATACACACATACATACATATACATATATATATATATACATACACATACACATATACACACATACACACACACACACACACACACATACATACATACATACATACATACACATACATATCCTTAAAAAAATAATATATATTCCCCTTTACTACTTTCCAACCCCGCCACCCTTTCCCTACTTGGAGTAAACTAGTGAACAACAACGCCCAGGCCTCTACTTCCAGCCCATACCCACTATCTACATTTTATGGACACAGTCAATTTTACAATAATTACATTTTGTTTGTTGTTACTCCTGAACTTCTTCTACTCTCAACCTCTCCGATCATTTTCATGATGTCCATCTGGTTTGCTTCTATATGCCATATCTTTCTAACTGTGCTCTTTCACAAAAGCTCCCAACCTACAACCCATACACTTATTATGGACACAGTATGCTTTACATTATTAGTTATCTTGTTGTTATTAGTTGTTGTTAGTTGTTATTAGTCCCATCCTTCAACTCCATTCAACACCTCCCATCTATCTCTTAACACCATCCACATAGGATTTCTATTTGGCATATATATTTCAACTGTACTGTGATGTCTTACAAAAGTTCTGAACCTTTCTATTCTCATCTACAGATTGTGAATTAAAAATAAACATTTTTGCTAATTGTATTATTATGTTATTAATCGATTGACTATGACTTTTCAGATCACCCAGTAATGCTATCTGCAGGGTTAGCTCCAGGTAAATATTGCAATCCTTCAGCCATTCCTGGACCTGTGTCCAAAAACAAGCTACAAATGGACAGTACCAAAACAAATGATCTAATGATTCTGTCTCTTCACAGCAAAATCTGCAGAGCTGGGAAGATTGTATCCCCCATATAAATAACATTCTATTGGTAGCAAGAATTTTATATAATAATTTAAATTGAAAGATTCTAATTTTTGAATCCGGTGTCGTTTTGCGTATCAGTTCATAAACACTATGCCATGGGATCGGTACGTCAAAGATCTCTTCCCAACTATTTTGCAATCTATATGGGACGGCTGTCAATCCTTTGGTCCTTAAAGGAAACTGATATACTTTTTTATTTATCACAGTTTTCCTTAACCAATTATGTTCTTTAATGCAAGGCCGACAGACAAGTTCCTTACTTTCTCCCCCTTCCACTTTCCTCTTCCACTTTTGCGGTAAGGCTGCAATTATTTGGTTGTAATTTTGGGTAGAGCAGACATTTCCATATGTTTTTGTTAGCTGCATGTGCGACATAACTCCACCAGTCCTACCGATGATATCATTTACGAAGATTATACCTTTTTTAAACATTCTGTCAAAAAATAAAGGTTTTTTGTCAATTAGTATATTTGAATTTAACCACAATATTTGTTGCATTATTTGTTCTGTCGTTTCTGGAGGATTAAATTGAAATTGCAACCAACTTTCTATGGCTTGTTTTAGAAATAGTGATATCTGGGAGATGATTTCCTTTTCAAATAACTGAAAGTGAGTGGTTGTAATCTGAATAAAGGGAAAAAGGCCATTCTTGAACATTGGGTGAGACAATCTTACTAATTTGCTAGAGAACCAGTTCGGATTTAAGTATAACTTTTGTATGACTGAAGCTTTTAGTGATAGGTCTAATGCTTTAATATTTAATAATTTCTGTCCTCCGAATTCATATTCATTATATAAATAGGCCTGTTTAATTTTGTCTGGCTTGCCGTTCCAAATAAAATGGAATCTTTTTTTCTCATATAATTTAAAAAACTGTTCCCTAGGCGTAGGCAAGACCATAAGCAAATAGGTAAACTGGGATAATACTAAAGAGTTAATCAGGGTGATTAGGCGAAGGATTAGCTAAAAGGGTTAAGGATATGGTTAGTGGAATGGTAAGCTAACATGCTAAGTCATTACAAAGTAGCTAAAAAGGAGTACGTAGTAAAACAAATGCTAATTAGCTAAAATGCTAACGTGAAGTAAAGTTGTCCATGATGAGATTCAAACTCACAACCTTTGGGTTGCTAAATGTACGCATTATACGCCAACCCATCCACCCCGACCAACCACCTTACTTTCGTATTATAATTTTAATTTAACCCCTTTTTTCTCCCCAATTTCGTGATATCCAAATTGGTAGTTATAGTCTAGTCCCATCGCTGCATCTCCCCTACGGACTCGGGAGAGGCGAAGATCGAGAGCCATGCGTCCTCCGAAACACGACCCTGCAAAGCCGCACTGCTTCTTGACACACTGCTCGCTTAATCCAGAAGCCAGCCGCACCAATGTGTCAGAGGAAACACAGTCCAGCTGGTGACCGAAGTCAGCTTGCAGGTGCCCGGCCCGCCACAAGGAGTCGGCTAGAGTGCGATGGGACAAGGAAATCCTGACTGGCCAAACCCTCCCTTAACCAGGACGATGCTGGGCCAATTGTACACCACCTCATGAATCTCCCGGTCACGGGCCGGCTGTGACACAGCCTAGGATCGAACCCGGGGCTGTATTTGTATTTATATTTATTTGGGATCCCCATTAGCTGCTGCCAAGGCAGCAGCTACACTTCCTGGAGTCCAAACATGTACATTTTACATTTTCGTCATTTAGCAGACGCTCTTATCCAGAGCGACTTACAAATTGGTGCATTCACCTTATGATAGCCAGTGGGACAACCACTTTACAATATATAAAACATTGTTTTATTTTTATTTATTTTTAAATTGGGGGGGTGGAGGATTACTTTATCCTATCCCAGGTATTCCTTAAAGAGGTGGGGTTTCAAGTGTCTCCGGAAGGTGGTGAGTGACTCCACTGTCCTGGCGTCGTGAGGGAGCTTATTCCACCATTGGGGTGCCAGCGCAGCGAACAGTTTTGACTGGGCTGAGCGGGAACTGTGCTTCCGCAGAGGTAGGGGGGCCAGCAGGCCAGAGGTGGATGAACGCAATGCCCTCGTTTGGGTGTAGGGACTGATCAGAGCCTGAATAGGCAAGTACCATGGTCTTGTAGCAGATGCGAGCTTCAACTGGAAGCCAGTGGAGTGTGCGGAGGGGCGGAGTGACGTGAGAGAACTTGGGAAGGTTGAACACCAGACGGGCTGCAGTGTTCTGGATGAGTTGTAGGGGTTTAATGGCACAGGCAGGGAGCCCAGCCAACAGCGAGTTGCAGTAATCCAGACGGGAGATGACAAGTGCCTGGATTAGGACCTGTGCCGCTTCCTGTGTAAGGCAGGGTCGTACTCTGCGAATGTTGTAGAGCATGAACCTACAGGATCGGATCACCGCTTTGATGTTAGTGGAGAACGACAGGGTGTTGTCCAGGGTCACGCCAAGGTTCTTTGCACTCTGGGAGGAGGACACAACAGAGTTGTCAACCGTGATGGCGAGATCATGGAGCGGGCAGTCCTTCCCCGGGAGGAAGAGCAGCTCCGTCTTGCCGAGGTTCAGCTTGAGGTGGTGATCCGTCATCCACACTGATATGTCTGCCAGACATGCAGAGATGCGATTCGCCACCTGGTTATCAGAAGGGGGAAAGGAGAAGATTAGTTGTATGTCGTCTGCGTAGCAATGATAGGAGAGGCCATGTGAGGATATGACAGAGCCAAGTGACTTGGTGTATAGCGAGAATAGGAGAGGGCCTAGAACTGAGCCCTGGGGGACACCAGTGGTGAGAGCACGTGCCTTAGATTGCTGCACCACTCGGGTGGCCCCTTACTTTCGTTTTTGCCTTAAGTAACCATCTGTCTTGTGTAACCGTACAAAACGTAACATATGGTACTTTTTTTAGTGTCCCGGATTTCCATTTACTATGTTACGTGTAGTCTATGAGACCAGGCTGATGTGATAAAACTCTGTCCCCTCTCCCCTGTGCAGGTATCGTTCTACAATGATCTACACCTTCCTGAACTCCTCTGAGTCTGTGTTTCTTCTTCAGTCCACCAACAAGTCAGGAAAGAACGAAGGAGCCCTAGTCATCTGATCTACACCTTACCTTCCTGAACTCCTCTGAGTCTGTGTTTCTTCTTCAGTCCACCAACAAGTGAGGAGAGAACGAAGGAGCCCTAGTCATCACGCCTGTATGGCTCGTGTACTGACTTTAACACAAACACAAGAACTAACACGGACACAATTACACGAAAGTATGCATGCTGAAGAACGCACATTAATAGATGGATAAAGACAGACAGACACACACAGACACACACAGACACACACAGACACACACAGACACACACAGACACACACAGACACACACACACACAGACAGACACACACAGACACACACAGACACACACAGACACACACAGACACAGACAGACACACACAGACACACACAGACACAGACAGACACACAAAGTCTCTAAGACAGTTTAACATTACAGTTTAAACTGGCAGATTAACATTACATTACATTGTTTAAACACAACTGGACTTGACTTTTTCCACATTTTGTTACGTTACAGCCTTATTCTAAAATTAATTAAATCGTTTTTTTCCCCTCATCAATCTACACACTATACCCCATTATGACAAAGCAAAAAAAATCATATTTCTTGCTAATTTATAAAAAAATAAACACTGAAATTTGACATTTACATAAGTATTCAGACCCTTTACTCAGTACTTTGTTGAAGCACCTTTGGCAACGATTACAGCCTCAAATATTCTTGGGTATGACACTACAAGCTTGGCACACCTGTGTTTGGGGATTTTCTCCCATTCTTCTCTGCAGATCCTCTCAAGCTCTGTCAGGTTGGATGGGGTGAGTTGCTGCACAGCTATTTTCAGGTCTCACCAGAGATTTTCGATCGGGTTCAAGTCCGGGCTCTGGCTGGGCCACTCAAGGACATTCAGAGACTTGTCCTGAAGCCACTCCTGCGTTGTCTTGGCTGTGTGCTTATGGGCGCAGTGGGCGCAGTGGTCTAAGGCTGTGCCACTAGAGATCCTGGTTCGAATCCAGGCTCTGTCGTAGCCGGCCGCGACCAGGGAGACCCATGGGGCGGCGCACAATTGGCCCAGCATCGTCCAGGGTAGGGGAGGGAATGGCTGGCAGGGATGTAGCTCAGTTGGTAGAGCATGGCGTTTGCAATGCCAGGGTTGTGGGTTCAATTCCCACGTGGGGCCAGTATGAAAAAAATAAAATAATAATAATAATAATGTATGCACTCAATAACTGTAAGTCGCTCTGGATAAGAGCGTCTGCTAAATGTCTAAAATAAAAAATGTAAAAAATGTTGTTGTCCTGTTGGAAGGTGAACCTTCGCCCCAGTCTGAGGTCCTGAGCGCTCTGGAGCAGGTTTTCATCAAGGATCTCTCTGTACTTTGCTCTGTTCATCTTTCCCTTGATCCTGACTACTCTCCCAGTCCCTGCCTCTGAAGGACATCCCCACAGCATGATGCTGCCACCACCATGCTTCACCGTAGGGATGGTGCCTGGTTTCCTCCAGACGTGACGCCTTGGCATTCAGGACAAAGAGTTCAATCTTGGTTTCATCAGACCAGAGAATCTTTTTTCTCATGGTCTGAGAGTCCTTTAGGTGCCTTTTGGCAAACCCCAAGCGGGCTGTCATGTGCCTTTTACTGAGGAGTGGCTTCCGTCTGGCCTCTCTACCATAAAGGCCTGACCGGGCGGCCAGCTCTAGGAAGAGTCTTGGTGGTTCCAAACTTCTTCCATTTAAGAATGATGGAGGCCACTGTGTTCTTGGGGACCTTCAATGCTGCAGAAATGTTTTGGTACCCTTCCCCAGATCTGTGCCTCCACACAATCCTGTCTCGGAGCTCTACGGACAATTCCTTCGACCTCATGGCTTGATTTTTGCTTTGACATGCACTGTCAACTGTGGGACCTTTTATAGACAGGTGTGTGCCTTTTCCAAATCATGTCCAATCAATTGAATTTACCACAGGTGGACTCCAATCAAGTTGTAGAAACATCTCAAGGATGATCAATTGAAACAGGATGCACCTGAGTTCAATTTCGAGTCTCATAGCAAAGGGTCTGAATACTTATGTAAATAAGGTATCTCCGTTTTTTGTTTTAATACATTTGCAAAAAAAATGTTTTCGCTCTGTCATTATGGGGTGTTGTGTTATTTTTTTAATCACTT